GTACATGACTAAGAGCACAAGTAGAGGAGGAAGGGTCAACTCATCTCCTCTTTGATTAAGGAAAATACAAAATTACAAGCCAAAAAGGTCATGCAACCCCAAACAAAAAAACTTCTGAAAAAAATTGCAGTATGAGAAATCCTTAAGTGTATATGCTGTACTAGCTAGCTGTACAATGAGCCTGTAAAATTCAGTAGAAGTGGATATTGTGAGGGTTAAAATGTGCTGAAACAACCTCCCTTCAGTAACATCCAATAGCTCTTTGCACTACTTCACAAAAAATCAATGCTCTCTATACTTCTTACTCTCATCTTTATCGCTTCTGTGTAATTTGTACAGTTTAATCAATGGTACAGAACTTGAAAAAGAAAAGAAGGGGAGAGAAGTGAAGGGAAAAGAAGCTAGATTGACTCTAGAGAGAGTATACGTAAGAATTTTCAAAGAAATAAATATATGATTCATTGTTTGTTTCATTTTCAACTTATATTCAAGATTGTGCATCTTGTTGTTCATGTTTAGTGTCATCGTCATTTTGGTCCTGAGATGGATGTTTATCTGAGTGAGAGCCATCTGCAAGGTGGTCAGACTGATCATGAGAAGCAGTGTTCTTTTTGTGAGCAGTGACTTGCTTGACATGGTTGTAATCTCCTTTCTCCATGAAAAGTTGAGCAAAGTGGTGCCTGCAATACAGGACACCGTCAAGTGCAGCATAGGAGGAGTGTGTGAGAGGACACCCTGCATGAGCACACCTAAAGCAAGTCTTGTGGTAGCATTCTCCTTCCAGTGTCACCTTTTGCAACAACAAACACAAGTTTATATTTAACAAGGCCTGCAACTTTTTTCTTCCTGTTTACATCACAATTCTGAGTGGGAAGCATTTGAAATTACAAACCTTTTCCAGAGGATAGACAGTTTTAGTGCAAACTGCACATTTGTCCTGGGTTCCACTGAACAATGAAGAGAGTTTATTTGAGTTCTTGCTCTGTTCACATCCCAGGAAGAGGAGAAAAAAGGTTATTTCAGCAAGAGTATTGCAAATGAACGATTACAGTGGGTCAATGTGTTGCACAGAGTCTGATGAATAAATCATGCTACTCACGGCTTGCGACTTCTTAAAGAGTTTTTACATTATATACGGATGGCTCAAAACAAATACAAATACCTTCAGCCATATGCCCATAAGCTTCTTTCAGTCAACTAAATCAATTTTTAACTATCATGACAGCAAATAAACTTAAACTCTGAACCCTCATTCTTCAATAATAATATCAGATGGCTCTTATATTGTTTCTACCAAGAATATCCTTAGAGTTTGTTAGAAAAAGCATACAAAAAAGGGAGGATATCGAGCATACCGTCTCATGTGATTTTTCAGAAGACTTTGCTGCAATGTTTGTGAAAAAGTTTGTCAGTTAAATGGAAACTTATGAATGGAAGCAATAATCTGCACTGCTTAACACTGAAAGAAATGAAATGAGATGAAAGATTGATCATGTTGTCATTACCTGTGTGAAAGTTCTTGCTGAAATTTCCAGATTCCTTGAAAAGCTGCTCAAAATGAGGCTTGCAATACAGAACTCCATCCATTGAGGAGTAGCTACTCATCTGCCCATCATATTAACTTTGTTTGATTCACATTCATTGCAGTTTAAATATAACTTTCAAATATCAAGATTCTGAGAATTTCATCCTCTTTATGAATTTACTGAACTTGACTCAAATTGATTCCAGCTCAATAGGACCTCTAAAAAGATCAAATTCTTATCACCACTTCTTCTAATTATTAAGACTAAAAGATGTGTCATAGTTCACATGTAAACTAAATTTCATCAATTTTTGAAGAAAAAGACATGAAACTGAGGATAAAATCGGCAAAAGAAATAGTACAGACATAAAAACAAAGGAGGATACCGAAAGGAACCCCTTGCAGTGACTGCATCTAAAGCAAGATTTATGGTAAGGAACTCCCTCAAGAGACAACAGATCCACCACATACACAGTCTTATCACATGCATTGCATTTATCCAATGTTCCTGTAAATGCCATTTCTCTTCCTTAAACAAACAAATTACAACGTGCGTACAAATATATGTACTGTATATTGTATGTGTGTTTCTGCTGTTCCTTAACTGACCCAAACGATATAACTGAGGATTGAAGGGATGCTGAAAGAGACAGGACTCATACTACAAAATGGAACGATAAAACAGAGCCATTGGTTGATTGGGTTAGATTATGTGTTAGGAAATATTTTGAGACAAAGATGGAAAACTTAAGGCGTGATTTGTGGATGCAATCCAATTGATTGGAGTGAATGAAGGGTTGCTTCCTTTTGACTTTTTCAAGGCTCCACAATTAAAGAATGATGCATTTAAACATAACTAATTAAATTAAACCCTTGTCACATAAGTAATTAAATCAATGAGTCTGAGACGCCAACAGGGATACTTAAATTTAGAGTGTAGTTTAAGGTTGAAATGATAGTTGTGCCCAAATAATTGTCCTTTTAAAATGGCGCGAGTGCACCGGGTTCCTCTCGAAAACAGTATATTGAAGTTTACAAAATTTTAATTTATTTTGTATTTTTAATATTCTTATTTTGTATCCTTAACATAAGTATTACGTTCTGATATATTTTACGCTATATTACTAATTTAATTAAAAACGTCTTATATTTGCACTTACTCTCACATATATTCGATAATAATTTTTAACTGTGAATTTAAAAGTAGTAATTAAGAATTATAAAATAATAAAATTTAAACCACTCATATTAAATGTCAAATAATATGTAAACTGATATCAGGTGTATCCTCCTGCTTATGTGCTCCTTCCATTTCCACCCATTGGTTCAATTTCAAGTTTTCAACATCAAAAAGACTATTACCCAAGGGAAAAAAAAAAAAAACGTTAAAAAGACTATACTAGCCTGCTTCAAGCAAAGCAAGTTCCAGGCTTGAACATATTTTGTGATGATCAAACCTTATTACTGCTCTCAACAACAAATGAAAACTAATGCCCTCTAGGGGATTTAGTCTGGACAAATACAGAAAAATAAGGAAACTGTCGTAATGGGTAAAACTCATGAGGCCAAGGTCATCCAATGGCAGACACGATCATGGAGGCAATACTACTTGTTGGCAGAGAAAGAGATCTGAAATGGTCTTTCCATGGCGATCAATTCTTCGAGAGCAGTTGACGCCACCATCTAGGATGTTTCTGACAACAACATTCAACGACTGGATTCCCTTGACTTCATATATCTCTACCTTAACATTATCATTCATCCATCTGTATCTTTCACTTCCTGCATCTAAGTCCAAAGCAGACAACTTCAAAAGAGGAGAGACCACTGCTTTTACCCACTGGGGCGTGATAATCTGCTTCAACCTCTCAACATCAGGGGGGAAATGTGGGATAAGAGAAAAGTTTAAATCATTTCCTTTATCACCAGCTCGGCTGTGGGCTAAGCGGTACAGAGGAATCTTCTGGCCAGAAGGGGCAGGTGAAGCTAATTCTGAGAAAGAATTGTCAGTTTCAGCTTGTACATGTATTGGCCATATCAATGTATGAGTCAGATTGCATTCAGGAACGACCACTTTATCTGAAGGGCTTGTCCTGCAGCTCTTCACATCAATTCGCCAGAAAACATCCTCTCGCCTAACCTGTAGGGATTAGTGTCTTGATTAGTCAAGAAATCACGGCCTTCTAACTTTTCACTAATTTTATTTGCAAAATAAATAAATAAACAATATAATCTAACAAGATTAAAGGATGAAAACAGAAAATTTATTTAGTTTTGATTATAAAGTGCACATAAGTGAGGTTTACGTGCAGGCATATGCGTGTACGGGTATAACAGTGGTCAAGAGAGAGAAGAATACCAATCTCTTTTCTAGAAGAATTTCTTTCTTCACTCCAGTACTGCATTCAAGAAACAGGAAAAACTTATCACAGTTATTATAAAGGTTATTGGGCATCGAAGATCATAACAAGAAGGAAAAATATCTATCATTAAGTTTACGGAATAAAGTAGCTCTTTGTATTCAAACAAACCCAGTTTCAATTTTTGGGACCCACCTCATTTAGAAGTTCAGCTAACCGGGCAATGATCCATTTATATGATAGCAATCAAAACAGGAACAGTTTTCAAAAGCCAAGTGAAACTAATGAAATTGCAAATTGCAGGTTATATACTTGATACTTCTTCTTCACAACAATCTATCAATGACCAATCCGGCAACAAAACTAAATGACAGAAAAAGTACATATGCGGTTAGTTCTTCCTTGATTTCAGAACATTTTTTTTCTTTCATAAATATTTATAAAAGAAATTTTCATTTCAGAAAGATTTAGATTTAAGAATAGAGAATATATCATTCTAAGAAAGTAAAAGACGAAGAAACAAAACAAAACAAAACAAAAGGACGCAATGCGTCAGTATAAAAGCGCCATTCAATCCCTCTATAACCAGCAATAGACCAAATTAGCAGATGACCGCAAAGACGCCAGAAGAGATCAAAATTACATGGTGGAAGGTTATATTGACAACATAGAAATAACTACGTAATTATTGGTGCTTCCAACAAATTCAGAAATGCTAATTCGATGCAAAATTAAAATTTCAGCTTTTTTTTTTCCTGTGAACTCGTCAAATGCCAAATAAGAAGATAAAGACTGTCAATTGAACCCTGACGCAATATTTACATATATAAATACTCCACAGGAAGAACTTTAATTAAAAAAATTTTGCATACTAGACTTAAATGGAGGATGTCGAAGAGCATTGACCTGATACCACCGCCACCAGCAGGCCCATTTGTATACAATGCCGTAAATTCTCTAGTAAATTGGACAGCATGTTCCTTCTGTGCAAACAGTCCATCCATCCGTAACCTTATATCTTCACTAGTCTCCCAGGATGAAGAATTTGCATCAATGCTGGTAGCCTTTAGGCTATCAACTCCAATTATATAAGCAAGAATTTGGGAGTTAAGATTGGGAAACGATTCTCCCATCCATGATCTAACCTAATCAAGTACATGAACAAAATGTTAATTGATGGAGAGCAGCAAGGACCAAGCAGTTGCATGTTTTGTCCAAAGCATTAATTTCTTTCACCTAGTACCTTAACTAACTATAAAACTTCCTAACTAGTCAACTTAGCTCCTCTAACTAGTTATTTTTATTGAGAGTTAACTAATTTTAACTAACTTTCTTAATTTGCATAAATTAATTAATTGGAGTTTATAAAAAGGGCCGCAGGGAGTAATTCATTAAAGTACACGGAACAAAAAGAATCATTACGTCTCACTGGTCTGAATGTTTGCTTCATGAAAAGGTTGTAAAAGTTACCAAAAATTCAGCAGCTTTAGCACGTTTGACACATTCATAGCCACCATAAGATATCTCTCCCCATCCCTTCCATCCGCACTCCTGAAAAAGGTATATGATGCATCAAAACAAATGGGAAAAACCGAATGCCTCCTTTGTACAAACTTCAGGAAACAAATCGTGCATTGAAATATCGGCTAATATCTTACATAATTAAAGCCACAAACAAGCTCTCAAAACATAATGAAGAAGAAGGTGACTGAAGGCAAAGCTGCCTCTAAAATATTATTTCAGAAAAAAAAAAGCCTAAATTATTTCATATTGTTTCTGAAATTGAGCAGCTAATTTTCATGCAGCAGGAGGGCATGCAATACAAAATATTTTTACTTAAAAAAGAAATTAAAATGAAAAAGAAAGTAAAATGAAATGTAAGATTGTATGGTATACACTATGTTAATGCCATTGAAAAGCATCACCGTAAAATAACCCTCAAAAGTTATCAGAAGTCAAAGTTTTTTCTTTTGTCCAGAAGATGTCCAAGTTGACCATTATATGCATAACATTTCAAACAAAGTATGCAGTTGATTGAGAAGTAGCTTGGATCTTACAACTACAGCAGGATGACAGCCAAGACTAAACAATAAACTATCACCACACAAGACAGTGCAATAGGACCACTTTTTATGACAGGAAAAAGAAAAACTAAGATAAGATCGTGGAAGTAAGTTCCTAATTTATTTAATTCAAGTCCTACATGCTCTTCTGAAGACAAGGATTAAAAATCACACCTTTGGAACCAACTGCAGAAGTTCATTAGGAACTGGTTTAATGGAGGGTTTTGCCCCAATGCAGAGAACACTACAGCTTGAAATTGGAAGGAAAGTAACATTCTGAAAATCAACAACCTGTTCAAGAACAAGATGAAAAATTTTCCCCATATGCCATCTTCTGATCATAACAGTACCTTCTTTTTGTCAAATAGCATGACCAACATGACACTAAACTTACTAAATCAGGGGTCACATAAGCACCAGGATCTCCAACCTCATAAAGTAGTTGTTCAGCACATGTACCGAAATTTAGTACTCCACCACTACCTTCCGCCTTTGCTACACACACTTGTCCATCAAAACAAACTTCAGCATAAGGAAGTGATAAATCCAGTAGCTTCTCAAAGGGTATATCTCGATACTTGTCTCCTACAATGTGTAAGATGAAATTTAAGAGAATCTATTTATTCGCCCAAATTCCAAAGTTGTATCTTATATGCTAGGAAAGAGATATGCAACATAAGCAGACCTGGATGCATGAAATATCCACCAGTGAGTTGGCAGCCACACTCTAGAAGGTGCCCAGCCAGAGATCCTTGTGCTAGTTGATTTAAGTCATCCCAATTCCAACCCAGCTCATAAACCTACACATATACCAGCATAATCACCAAAAATTTAATGTAGTTGGTATGCAGCATGCTCCACAGAAAACAAATTATTTTTTCCTTAAAGAATGCCCAATTAATTCAATGAATCCCATTAAGAACCTATTGTTACTCTCTCACCGGGTCACTTTCTTCATTGATCTTCTTTAATGGATAAGTTAGTTGAAGTCTCTATTTATCTCCTTAAACTAAAGAATCTATTTTGTAACCTAAAATATGAATAATTGTACAAACCCAACAAATCCCACAACTGAATCCTTCTGTACAAAAGTACAATTCAGTTCCTTCAAATAAGAACACACTTCGATGGAGGAATAGCTGGGGATTAGGATGAGACAAAAATATCAGATTCCATACCATAGGTGACAAGAATAAAGCAGCATCAGCAATTCTTGAAGTGATTATCACATTTGGTTGGTACTTTTCAAGACAACGAACAATAGGAGCTGCTCCCAGGTAGGTGCTGACACCCTTCACAAATAATTATATATAAAACTTGAATACTTTTACAGCACAATTGTCATGAAAATGCAAATGCAAATTTGTTCTTTTAATGTGCATGTTGTATGGGCTAATACGGGCCAATATCTTCTAATTATGGCTAAATTCCTCAATTAAAGAAAGATGATATGCAATAACAATTAACTTCGGTCAAATCCTTTAAACAACTATTGAGGATCAACTAAACTGGGGAAAAAAAAATTTATCACTAATTTCCTAAATTCTTGAAACATCAATAAATTTTGTAAGATTTCTCAAATGACAATGCAATAGCAGAAGCAAACAGGAAAAAACAAAGCTGTCACTTCGATGAACAAATATAAAGGAAAATAAATTCGCAACTTCCTGCATCTCCTAATTCTTAGTACATTTTAAATAAATGAAGAAACAATGCAAAAAATATCGTGAGTCAAGATTTTTCATATGAAAATGCAATAGTAAAGCCAGACAGGAAAAAAACAAAGCTGTCACTTCAATAGCAAATATGAAGGAAAATAAATTGACAATTTTCTGCAGAAAGAGAGAATTGGTTGGTTATCAACAAATAACTTGAAGCCAGAAAGAGAAATGACAGATAATGCATTAAATATATGATAGCAGATGCACCCAAGAGACTAGATTCTTACACCCTCCATGTTATGCAATCTCTCAGGTAAGCATCCTGAACCTGAAAAAAATAGACGAAGTTCGAATATTATAAAGATCTAATGTCGCAAAGTTAAGCGGAATGAATAATAAGAAAACCTCAGAAAGGCCCTTTAAAGAAGCTAATGGCAAAAGACAAAACAGAAAGCAGATATAACTATAAGGTTAAGTCCTAGAAAGTTAGAAATGGAAGTGCGAACTGCTTATTATAAAATCAGGTCTAGGTGCAACAGCTCCTACCAATTGGATTCTTCCAAAGTGTTCATCAATCAAAGAAGCAGAAACAATCTCCACACCATTGTCGCACTAAAACCGTCTTCCTAAAGGTGCAATCACCCAGTATACATCAAACATAATGGAAAATCTAAGTTGTAATAGTAGGTAAAATGAAATTCCATAGACAAATAAATAGAATTGCATTCGAATTGATATTTCAAAATGCCTCTTCATATTTGCAGAATTCATTTGAACTACAAAGTAAAGTGTGCAATGAAATTTAAATACCTAAACTGGCGGTGGATATCTCATGAGCAACAGCAACAGAAACATTAAGCCCCAGGCTGCTAGCTATTTCTAAGACTTTTGCTTGAGCACCCAGCGGGTCCACTTTAAGAAACAAAGAAAGGACTAAGTTAGAAAAATGAAATGCATCTATTTAGATACTGCGTCAATGCAAACCACAAGCACTATGCTATCATATGAACTCTCTTGACACTCAACAGCATCAAGTGATCCAATATGTGAAGTCTTAAAAATTCTTACTTGCACCCATATTGGTAATTATGCAAGTTCCTCTCTCTGTAGCTTGAGGCAGCAATGTATGCATCCAGTCAGATACTGCAATAGAAGTTTACAACTACCACGAACTTAAAATTAGAAAAATGAAAAAGACAGCATAGTAAAAAGATCAGTTGAACTTTCACTAATTCGATTGTATCACTCAGAAGGTGCAACTGGTGACACGGCTTAGGTAGAAGATACAGACGTAAACATAACCGCATTACTCATTCAAAAGCGGCTGAAATAAAAGCATGAAGAAGACAAAGTAGACTTCATTCAGAATTTTTATTTTGTTGTTGAGCTCAGTGCTAGAAATGAATCTCGATATTCCACGATGTAGCAATACACAAGTTGCCCTCCCAGGAAACACTTACTCCGCGAATCATACCCATCGCCTCCAGAAACCATGATTCGATAACGATCAGCAAGAGTACGCTCTGCCAGGCATTCAAGCACCAGGTAGTTTAGTTCTTTGGCTCTTCTGAGCAACTTAAGAGCAGCCAAAGGCCTGTCACCACCAAACCCTGCTCCACAGCCAATGTAAACCTTATCCCTTCGCCTCTTGGGACAATTTCTCTGTAATAAAATATCAACACAGTGAACTGCTCTGCTGACTTAACTGGTAGATGAATGGGAATGACTAGAAAGAGAACATTAGCGAAGGAACAAGAATTTTACCAGCTTGATCGAACAGTTATGGATTTCTTCTCCATCCTTGGTTTCCATCACTTTGTGTCACCGGGTTCTCCTGCTGTTATTCACATACGAATGCAGATATACCGATTATGAAGATTATATTCGAAGATGATTACCGCTCTGAATATAATAATTCGGAAGCGAACGCAGCGAAAGAAATTGTTTTTTCGCGCGGGTGAAAAAAGAAAAATTCAAAAACCAAAAAAAAAAAGGTGAAAGGAAAAGGACGAGGGAAAAAAATCTAGTCACCACAAAACTGGTTAGTGGAACTGGGCTCCTATGATCATCTCCACGAAGACAGCATTAGCAACTAGCAAGCAAACTCTTCCGTACTGGAGGAGGCGAATTTTTCGAATGCCTACGTGTATAAATAGAGACGTGCCACCTCAGCGGCACGTGCCAGATAACGTTGAATTTTATATATACGTACATACATTTATATATATATATATATATACTCCTCCCGTCCTTAATATAAGACACAATTCTTGAGTTAGTTTTGGTCCTAAACATAAGACTCATTCCTCATATTTATCAATTTTCTCTAAATTACCCCCATGGATACTCCTTCAACCATAATTAAGTATAAGAGAGAGGGGGTATTAAGAAAGATGACTATGGTATTTTAGGAAAAATATGTCACTTTTCTTATAATTAACTAACTTACCTAACTTCCTTAATCTAAACAAATTAGTTCAATGGGTCTTATATTAAAGATCGGAGGAGTATATATATTAATATTATGATATATCTTATAGTTTTTTCTGATGGTCTTACCCCATCAGATATGCCATAAAAAAGAAGAAAAAGGAGAAGAATACATCTCCTTGTTCCCACAAATATTACCATCTCTTACCATCCAAAATATCAGGAGCGCCTCCTTTAACCCCAGGGCAATGAGTTGCAAAATGTCCTCTATAAAACAAATCTACTCGTCCTCTGACATTTAAAGAGATCGGGTTTGCTGATGTTGAGAGATGGAAGAAGCGCTTGTGTCTGAGGGATCACAGGGTTTACGGTTGGAAGAAGGGAAGGCAAAAGAAATAAGAGAAACATAATAAATGTACAAGTAAATTCCATTTCATCACTTTATCTTATATACCAAATAAATCATATGATCGAATATGATCGAATGCAAAGAACCTATTGAAAGTTACAACAAAGTAAATCCTTGGAGGTATGAAACTCTGCATAATTTCCTCCGTATCAGAAGAAATTCCCCAATCTACTCTGCCTTGATTTGACTCTGCCAATATTCCTTTTCCCATAGTTGTGCCTGTCTGGTTGCATTAGCTTTTCTGTCCCGGAAATCTTTCAGGAAGGAAACATCATCAGGAGGAATTGAGCATGGAAGTGAATCACTGGGAAACTTGACGAGCGACTCCTCCATGAACTTCCTCCAGTTTCCTTGTGCACCACACGCCATTGTTTCTGGACACAGCTCCGTAGCTGTAGGAGGCACTGTTGGTTTGAACTTTAACAGCTTTGCATATTCGTTCAAAAGATGAAACATGTAGTCGTATACATAGTCTATTTTCAAGTCCTCCTGCATGAACCTGCTAGCAGCTTCCCCTATTGCCTGAGCCTGCTCAAACCAAAACATTTCTCTTCTTTGGATTAAACTAATAACTTAGCAAGAATGGCTTGGTTTTGGTTTTCAAGTGGCAGTGTTAATATTACCTGATGAGTGTGATTGTTGCCCCATTCAACAGCAAATTTGAGAGAAGTGCACTTGGAAGAATCACTGACGGGCCAATAGTGTTGTAAAGGCATCATGCCTCTGATGAAGAAGTCATAGTACTTTGGCCTTACGTACAGTGTCATAGCATCACAAGCCAGTATGTATTTCTCACTCACCGACCATGCCCATCCTTCTATGTATATCTTATACCTAACCACAACAAAACAAAACAAAATGATACTCCAGCACAAATCTCTGCTGTTAAATAAAGTTTGAATATGGCTATAGATAAAGGAAAGTTGATCCTTGATATTCTCTTCTATCCAAAATCTGTTTTGTTAGCTTGATTCAGTGGCTAAGAGCTAGAAAAGGGCACAATCCAACAGCTATACAATGTAATGAATGAGTTAGCTGTGGAATCAAGCCTCACAAACCAGATTTGGAATAGAACGCAACAGGGTTTCTGATAAAGGACCCTTCCCTACCTATGGGTGCATTGGTCCTCTAACTTGGATGCTTTATACCCTTGTTTGGACTCTTGTACCCAATCCTGTCATGAATTCAAACACATAACATATATTATAACTGATCAGCACAATCAAAAATAGCCACAAGTTTTAATGTGTTATCAAGTACTTTCAACAAATGCATGACATGTCAAAGAATGTCCTCACACTGAATTAGGAGTTCGTGCATGTTGGTTATGATTTGTCATTTATCGACATACCAGATTATTGAAACATAGAAAGTTGAATACCTGAACGTAGATACGAGTGTTCCAATCATGTTCATTAGAAACATTACACTTCATAAGGTCTCTTCTGGTAGGAGCCACGTGAGGGTTTCCCTTCCAATAAGCGTAAGGCACTCTGTCCTCCCACTTGATCTTCTTGTTCCCTTCTTTTATATCTTCTAATGTATCTTTCCATGGCTTTAAATTTATCTCAGCCCTATCATGAGTTCACAACATTAATGGGCGTAAAAATGATTTGATTAACATCTATATTCTAGAGAATTGAAGCATATCAAGCTAAATTCACAATCAATATCAATACATAACATGTGGAATGCATTATTTATAAATAGCAAACAGTAAGCCTCATTTGAAATCAATTTATTAGACTGTGCTTTTGCGGAAAAACCAGATGAAGTTATCAATTTTGTGGTGAGAGATTAGTTTGGATGGTTGCGGAATCGTTGTGTGAGAAAATGCAAGACAACATGGGTTAAGCAAGGGCAATGGGGAAGCATTCCAGTACACTATAAACAACATATGAGCTGGAAATATGACGATCAAGAATTGTGTCTTGCATCATAAATTCTGACTGGAAATCGTACATCTTCATTAAAAATATCCTCTCTTAAAAGAAAATTCATTAGGAATCATTTAATAATTTGGATTCTTAGAGAGACTAACTTAGTTGCTGATTAGCTCATTAAGGCTACTATCGAGGAGATATGCCCATCTAGTTGGATTTGCCCCCCCTCATCTTTTGTTGAAAGTTGAAACTATTGGATAAGGATGCTAAAGTTTCGACTGAAAAAGTTAAGATAGGGGTGGGTTGATTTGTATTAATTTTCTGAATTTTGCTATGTCTTCTGACTCCGTTGGTTGATATTGATATATGACGTTTTTTCTTTTTGGGGGGGGGGGGGAGTACTAAGATTTTTTTTGAAAAAAAAAAAAGCACTTTCTTAAACATATATGTCAGGATTATGAAATAATTACCATCCCCAAAAGGACCAATCCGGAAAGACGATGTCTAAACTCCGGTCGTCGGAGCAATATCGAAACAAGGGTGGTGGGCTGGCCTGTGGTCCACGGTGATGCCGGGAAGCTACGACGGGCCTATCATCACAGTCAAACATCATCTCCAAATCAGGCAATTTGGACGGGTACCATCTCGTGAGTTGCAATATGCCCCACAGAGTAAACAGGTCTCTGGTCTGTATTGACTTCCTATACTTGTCCACGTACACCCTCCCGTCCAGGATCACCACCCTAAAATGGGCCGTCCTTCTCGCCCCCTCCACCATGTCCCTCGTGATTCCCGTCTCCCTCCAGGGCCGTAGATCTTCGTGGATGAATCTGAAGTGGGCGGGACACGTGCGGTTCCATGGACGGCTAGGATTGTGCCTGGCCGGGTAGTCTCTTGAGCATGTTTGCGTCTCGTTTTGTTTGGCGCATTTCAGAGGGAATTCTTGCCTAATTGGTGGGGGAAGAATCTTCTCTTCTGACCTGGAAACTCCTGCAAATATTGACTACAAATAAAGCCCAAAAATTATTTTTTTTAAAAAAGTATTATTCATTTTTCTACTTACTGTACACATTTGTTTTCTTATATATATAGATGAATTAATTGTAGCCCCATATTTTATATGGGGTATAAAGTGAATTTTATTTCTATAACTGATCACTAGTGCACTTAGAATCTGAATTAATTAATCAGGGCAAAACAAATTTCTGGTAAAAATTTCCTAAAATTCCAATGGAAAGAATTCATCTTTATTATATATGCTATTAATAATTAATACTTTATAAATGCTTCTCCCCCGGAATTATACAAGCAAATCTAAGTGCTGGGATTCACAGTGGACCCACAATTTCCTTATAATTTATCCAGCCAACTGAATGAGTTTAATTTTAAATACAGAAAACCAAATCGACCAAAACCCATCAATATCACTGTTACTAATCTGTTGAAATCTGAAAATACTTGAGCTAAACCCATAGTATCATATGAACAGTGAATATGATTGAATTACCATCTACACTTAAGCAAATCCACTGGGTAATTTGGATGAAACGATGTTTAGTGAAGCAGATGAACCAAAATTTTGAACAACTTCTTACTTACATTTGAGTAAACAGATAAAATAAAACTGATCATGAGAAAATGCATCTGTGAGTTTGGTAATTAAATGGCATGCGCTTGAATAGAATAAGTTAATGGTGCGTGATAATTGATATTGAACTCACCACGTCAAACCTGCCGGCGAATGAAGATAATAGAGTGGCCACGAAGCAGAAGACGACGACGACTATGGTGGTGGCAGCAGCCGATGCCGGAGTCTTCATGGGCCACCACTGGTACAGCCACCGCAGTCTCTGACGAGGATTGGAGGAAGAAGAACGACCCCAGAAGAGTTTCAGGTATATCTCGTTATCCCTCTTCATGCTCTCCCCTGAGCCTTCTCTGTGATATATGTATGTATAGTTCTGCTCACTTCTGGGTCAGATATATTTGCAGAGTTTGATTGTTGCTGGTGACATATATGGAATCCTCAAAACGTGTTTGGGTGAGTTTGATCTGTGCATGTGGAGGGACTGCGAGAGGAGGAGGGGGAGAAAGAAGGTCCCATCACTCATAATTACAAAACGTTGACCCCTTCTTTATAAGTCTCGTTTCTTAACTTTTCTTTCCATGCATCCTGTCTTTAATATTTAACATAAGATTGGTTGCCTCGTCTAAATAGATTTAAGAAAAAAAAAACTAGTTAAGTTAACTATTTATAGTAATTAAGTGTTATTTTTTTAAAAATGTTTGTACTAATCATACGTATTAGCTTACCGCGATAAGAAATATGAAAGTACAATCTGGATATTCTTTAAAAAAACAGTACGAGTCCCCTTATCGTCTTATATTGATCCCTTAGTTAATCTGGGTAAATTTTTTTAAAAAAAGTTTTCGGGTTAATGTAATATGGATATTGATTATTTAAGCTGGCAGCTGGCTGTTTGCTCCATAATCCAACGTCACTGGTGCCCGCCCGATGTAAAATCATCATCATTCTTAATTTGAGATTTTGTAATTTTAAAAATATTTTTTTAGAATTTTTTTAAGAACAAATATAGTGGTGGGATATATACTAGTGGTTTTTTTTAAATCTCTATGCAATTTGTTACTTCCTATGAATGAGTATTTTAATAATTAAGAACTTTTATTAATTTAGTTAGTTGTAATGTCCAGAAAAGTGTTTTTTTAATGGAAATAAATTTATTCAAAAGAACAAGTAAATACAAGAAGGCATAACACGATTACAAAGCAGCCCTCAGAAAAGTGTTTAATAAAAAGGATCAAAGCCAATCACTCCAAGGTTCTATAGAAAGAATCGGAAGAAATATTACACTTTTTTTTTTTTTGCCAACACACTATTTATTAATTATAAATAATCCAGTTTATTAAAATTTTATAAGGTAAATATGTAATTTTATTTCTAATCTTATTTCTTAAGTACACCCAGTTAGTACAATTTTATTCATAATTCTTTTTTACAACTTTACCCATAATCTCTTTTTTATGTAAATTTATTAGGGTAAACTTGGGTCCACCCAGTTAGACAATAATTTGTTTGTATGATGTATTAAAAAAATCACTTTTAGAAATTTTAAATTAAAAAATAAGAAATCATGTATGTCAAACATCATTTTGAGCTTCAATTACTTTTTAATTCAAAATTTTAATTTTGATACGTTGGCGCAAAAAAAAGTTAATTTTCATGACCTAAAAGCCATCCCAAACAAAGCCATATATATTAAAAAGTCATAAGTTTGCGTTTTATTGAATTGTATTAGTATATATTTAATTACTATGTTTTTATGAAAAGTATTAGTTCAAACATTTTAAAGTTTTTTTTTTTTTGATAGAAAAATTTTTGGAAAGGAGTTGGGCTCACCCACGATCCAAGGGCAGGGCGAAATCTCCCTTCCTCCTAGGTCATACCAATGTTGGGCAGGGCGAGCCGTCAATTACCCTCAGGCGTTTACCTAGGCACCCAAGAGCTAGAATGCCTCCCCAAACGCCGCGACTGGAACCACAACAAAGTGGTATTCCCCAGGAATCGAACACATGCCAACAAAGTGGTATTTTAACAGTTTCATATTTCCAAAAGTAGTTAAAGTTGAGGTTTTAATTTTTAAAGTGGTTCCGAATTCTTTTGTGGTATTATTTCATTTAATAAATCCAACTTTTTAACACATGCACCCCCTTGCATTCAATTTTTTTTCAAAAAAAAAAAAAAAGATTTTGGGCGTAGGCCCGTATTATTCACAGAAAAAATAAAATACAGCTAAACATAAGATAATATAATTTATATTATAAAATAAATCTCATATTTAAGACGAGAGAGTATTTAGTTTTAGAGTATTATCAAATAATATGTATTCTACTTTTTTTTTTTTTTAACAACTCATTCTATGTGAATATTTATTATTATTGGTCAATTACTTAGAAATGGAGTCAACGTTACGTTCAAGGCAAGCAAGCACACAGTTTTGGTTTGACCAATTGTAGGATAACTTCCCCTAATTCTGCCAAACTCCGGGAATCGTAAAAGTCTTTCAATTGTGAAGATCCAGTTTAGTTATATAATACAAATATTTTTTTTAATATTTCCCTTCAGCGATTATATATACCATTATGGAGTAATTATCTAGCATTTTATTTTATTTAAAAAATAAAGCTTAGTCCATATGGTATATGGAAAGAATGCACATTCTCATTGACTTGTGGCATAAACTATAAAATAATTAAGCTCACTTCCTATTTTTTCTAACGTTCAATTAGTGGCTTAAATTATTTGTTTCTGACCAGCAATAGCTTGGTAACCCAACTTGAAGGAGACGCATCAAGGGGGAGAAGGAATTATATATATATATATATATATATATATAAAATATTTTAAATTAAGTATTTTTATATTAAATTTTTTTTATTTTAACAAAAATTTAAAATTACTGGAGACTAGTTATCTAGTAACAAAAAATTTGATTTAAAAATTTAAATTACAAGATGTGAATAGATACGATAGGGGGCAAAAAAAAAAAACAGACACGATGTTATTATTTTATTTTTAATTGGCAATCCATCTACTGTTATTTCCTTCTCTTTACGGCCATCTAAATAGAACGATTCGTTAACTTTCTAGTATTAGTTAGAACTTATAAAAGATGAAGGATAAAAATGTTAACATCTATTTAAAAAAGGTTTTTGTTTTCTTATGCATTGCATAGAAACTAGTTATCATGAATTAACTTTTTTTTGTCAAGTCTATTTTTTTTTTTCCATTTGATCAATGGTTCTTTTTTCATACTTAGAGCGCAGAGAGTTCTCTCTGTCAACTCATGTTTCTGCTCTTTCTTTTAAAAATACGTATTATGTTTGTTTTTAATTAGAAATTCTTCTACTTTTATTTCCTTCTCTTTATGGTTCTTAAATTGATGGACTCTTTTTTTTTTCTATTATTAGTTAGGACTTAAAAGAAACAAAATATCAAAATTGTAACTTTCTACGACAAAACATATGTGTGTGCATGGATGTATATTCAAATTTTTATCTGAACTTCAAGATCTCTTTTTAGTTTTTATATCTGAGCTATGGCTAAGCAAATTGTCACTTATGAAATGTGTTAGTTTAATTTGGATGGAAAAATGAAGAAGTAATGGTTTCTAATTGGTAAATGATTCAGCGGCACGAAATGGTGTGCGTGAGCTGTTCAATAATTTGGTAAAGTCAATAACCATTTATGGCGCAATTCAGGTAATTTCCTTCCCATTTATGCTCGTTCTTATAGCTTAATTTATTACTGCCTCCGTTCCTTATTATAAGAGACAAATAACCGAAGTACGTTGATCAAAAAAACAATTAAAGTTAGTTAAGAACAATTAATGTATAAAAAGTATAATTTTTTTTCCAAAAATGCCCTCATTAATAAGGAGAGAGAGCATGAGAGAGAACAATTAAATTATTAAAAGAAAGAGAAGTGGAAGGGAGAGAGAGTGTGAGTTGGAGATAATAAATATAGGTAAAATAGTAAATCAACACAAAAAAGTAGAAACAACTTGTAAGTGTCTCTTATATATAGGAACATGACATAAGCATCAAGTGTCTCTTATAATAAGGAACGGAGGGAGTACTGTTCAAATATGGTGGGCGATAAAATTAGAGTATTGCTCACGTGAGCCCCCCCGTGGGGGGGGGGGGTGGGTATTGCTCCCTATAAGGCGCCGCATGCAATTACGTAACAATCAATTAATAAATAAGTTCAAATCTCACTGTCAGACGTGGGAATTTTGTTGGTGTGTCACTAGAAAACTTAACAATAAATATGAAGAATTTGATGTAACTATTTTCCGAATATATATATAATTACTGGTAAAAAATATATAATATAAAATTTATAGTAAACCATATTATTATAAATTACTGTAGATGAATCTCATTCGCAGTAAGGTGGGAGTTTCATTTCTATTATATTATTCTTCCGGTTCTAAATATAAAACTCTTTTTGTAGTATAAATTACACTATAAAAGAAGTTTTATATTTAGAACCGGAAGAATATTGTTGTTGAAGTAAAACAAAAGTTTCTAGAAGCATTTATTTACACAATTAGAGACAAAAAAAATTTTATACGCTTACCATATATTCCATAAATCACAATTGAAAAAAAGATTTTACTGTCATTTCAAATAAGCCCTTACTCTCCCTCCCAAGTCACAACCCATCCATGGGAGTTGGCTATCATTGTTATTTTCCTTTTTTTTTCCTTCTTACCCATCTCGTTAAGACCAATATTCATACAAAACATTAAACCATAATAGTTTCTGGTTTAAAAAAAAAAAAAAAGGCCATAATAGTTCCTCATTACTTCCTGATATGATACGTTTTGGGTTTCGTTACAGCAAAGCTCAATATCAACCTTGAAGGACGCAAGAGAACATCGGAGCATGTTCATGCGCAGACTTTGTTTTACAAGCACCAGTGTCACTTTCAGACTTGGGTTCTGGAGCTTCAGCCAATGAGAACTGCTTATGTTTGCTAATTTCCTAGGTTCTGTGTTTTCCATTATATGTAATGTTCGTGCGTGTGTGACGATCACAAATTCTATCGTCACTTTTGTGGTCAACCGGCTTCTTCCTAAATCACAGTGTGGCTCAGCTATAAAGAGTTTGAACTAGCAGCACTAAGCTTCTTCAACACGCTGCACAGCCTCAGAAGTCAGAGCTTGAGGAGGATGTCCCTTTCCATGTTTTAACATGTGTTTTAGTTTAGGACGCTCTTCATGTGAGGTTCATACGTGTTCCTATAGAATTTCTCACTTGCGTTTTACGTTCGTTTATTTTCCCCATTTGTAAGCTTGGTTTTTTAGTTTCCTGTGTAGTTTGTATGACACGGTACTTGGAAGGCTATCCCCGCATGTGTACCCAGAAAACATCAGATTGGATTCTGGATGAGTATGCCGCGAAAGGGCTCAAATACAAATTCATGCATGCTAAAGAAAAGAGATATTCAAATCTCTCATGATTAGAAGCCTATCTTCAAGTTCAGATGGCGATCTGTTTCGCCAGTCATACTGCACTTTATGTCATGTCTACTTTAGTAAAATTATTTTAGTCAAAGTAGCTTTAATCATGCCAGAATCTTACATAAACTTCATATAATGTAAAAGGCAGCTTTAACCATCTCAGAATCATGTATCAACTCTATATCATGAAAAAACAGCCCTAACCATGTTAGAATCTTGAGTCATGCTTTGTTCAGAAGTTAGTAGAGTCAGAGTCTGTATAAAGGAAGATCTGGCAATATGAAGGGCGAAACTCACCTCATATCAAACTTCTATCAATGAACTACCAGTATTTTTTTTCCCCTCATGAATTTCTTCTAAATTTCTCCTCTTCCAAAATATCGAGCTAGTAGTATCTTACCCTGTCATGCAAAGGTTCAATTATGTTCTACGTTTGCCTCATATAGGATTTAGCTCTGGTGCTAAGAGATGAAAATTCCTAATGTGGCCGTAAAGTTGAATACTTAATGAGGCCCTACCTGCATTAAGATTTTTATGCATCATGCTTAAATCTCCTATTATTTTTATTGGCACGATGACCTGTCATGTTGAGCTTTTTTATTTACTCGTACTACTTCTAATAATATTTGATCTTCATACAGCAAAACCAAGTTTGTGTTCATTAAGTTCAACTGTAAATTTTAGCCTCATCTGTCGCTAATGTCTTTCGGACACGGCAGGCAAAACTCAACCTCATCAATCATACTCTCAATCACTCGTTCATTCTATTATACTCTTCTGGTCTTAAATATAAGACCCTTATACTAGTATACATAAGGGTCTTATATTTAAAACCGAAGAAATATATACGCAAAGGCCAATGTAGTTGAAAGAACATAGTTTGATAAAAATGAGTGGAAAGAAAAAATGTTATTACCTCCGGCCTATAATATAAAATCCAATTTATAATTCTTGAACTAGAAATTAAATCTTACATTAAGGATCTAAGTAGTATATACAATTGAAAAAGAAAATAATTTGATGGAAAAATTTATATTTAGTATGATTGAAACATCAAGGTAAGGAAAATAATAAAATATTAATTTAATTATTATTCATATTTTTAATTAAAAACTTCTTAAGATAAAATAAAATAATTTAGTAAAAGCTTCTTAAAATAGTAAAATAAAATAATTATATTTTCTATAAAAAAAATTCTCAACATATTAAAACAAAATTGTCGTTTTCATTTTCAAGGACAATTGGCCTGAGCCTAAGCCCCTTTCTCGGCGAAGATTTTTGCTCTCATGTCCACGGGAAATTCAGTTCCCGAGGATTGCCCGGTAAATTTCTAGCCGCTACCAAACATGTCAACTAAATGTGAACAAACGTATATAACGTCTAACAATCAATCACTCACAAATACAACCGATATAGGCTTTACATAGTCAATAATCTCAGGATCTCAGCTATTTCAAGATAGGAAATGCCTGGCAATCCAATGGTTTCAAGAGCCACTCGCTAAAAGGAGGTTTCCCTTTAAGAACTTTACAAGATAATCGGTATTCTTCTGCCCCATCCTGCAAAGGATTGATCAGAGAAACAGATTAGGAGGTTACAAATGATGATCCATCTTCTCACTAGTAACAGACAGTGTCTAGAAAATTTAAGAACTAATCAGGACCTTAAGTTCTTGATAAGTAACTCCATCAGCCAGAGAATTCAAACGCTCAGGTCTCAGTGACAAGAAAAACTCCGACAGCCTCTTTCTGAGACGATACACTACCATAATTAGGGCCCAACAGGTAAAACTTTTAAGGGAGGTACTGGTAAGCTTACTTGCATAATGATGATTCCGTGGATGGGTAAAGTGCCCCTTTAGCAGAGGTGCCCTGTTTTCTTCCTGTGGTTCCCAGGATGACTTCATGCAAGCCACATTTATTCCAACAAATAGAATAGCTGCAAATTTGAGCATTCAGATATACTACAACATCAAACCATAAAAATTAAATGAGCACTGGGAATTTGCCAGCATTTGATGCCACGTACCCGCATGTTAGAGTGTTAGCAGCACTCTCACAATGTTGAATGTCCTTGGGTGGTGCTGAAGCAGCCAGAAATAATGGCTACAAAATGAAAAATATGTCTAGCCACAGTTTCACCCATTTTAATAATCACTGTGAAACTAGATATTCTACGAACCTGGTTCACCCGAAATGGACTTTTTAACTCATTTGAGAAGGGTAGGATGCGATCATACAATGCGCCTCTCAAGTTATCCTCAATATGAAGATTTTCAGAACTGTTAGGGGGCAATCCAACAGTAATAGAGGATATATAAACTGGTTGGAGAAAGTAGGAAAGCAAAGCCCCTGAAATAAGAGAAACAGTTACACCAGTCAAACCATACACTAGTGCTTACTATCACAATGTTCCTAACAAAGTCACCGATATTCATCTACGCATGGATGAAGAATGGGAATAGATTAGGAATGACATCGTTAATTATGCGTAAATCAGAATTAAACAATATCAGACCAACATGTTACAATTTGATGTGTAGGTAACTGATCTAACTTGGTCCTCACCTTTGCGCCAATAATTTGATTATAAACATCTAAGCATTACTGTTACAAAATGTATCAGCTTTGTGGAAGAATAAATCAACATGCAACAGGAAATCATATAACCAAAGGTTTTGGTGCAAAAGATATGCCTGCAGAAACTATAAAAATTTTAAAATCATTACAGGAGTTTTCAATCTCAGTTATATGTAATCATGAAACTCCAACTTTAAGGAATGAAGTAATAGTTGCCCCACTTTAAGTACTTCTGACCTTGAACACCAACCAAATTCCATCGGGCTATCTTGTCAGAGCAACTAACTGACAGAGTTGTATCACCTCGGCCTGGCTTCCTCTGAACTTTTCCTATTTGTTTTGGACCATTATCTGGAGATGGAAACAAAATAATTCTCCTAAGACTATAAGAAATGAACGCCAGACAACTTTTGAAAAAAATTCCATCTGATATGCCATTAAAAAGATATACAATATGGTGAACATAGAATGAAATAATTTTGATAAGAAAATCACCAAAGAGAAATGTATAAAGATTGAAAGGCAGGGTAGGCACATAAACGCCTAATCAATCAAGAAATTCTCAGCACTTAGAGTACTCGTCTAGCAAAGATGAGATCCAACTAAACTTTCTGCCCATGGCCTTTGCTATATTACAAATGGATTGTTTGACCCTTATTGCTGGGAGGAGAGAAGGGGGGGAGGGGGGGCAGCTTTCTCAATTGGCAAAACTACAAGTAAATTGTATAATGATCTCCAACAAAACCACAAAATGACAAGTTAATGCAGACATAGCATTCTAGAGATTTTTGGGCAAGTGCCACAACAACTGCCCTATGGCAGAGACTTGAGATGGAGCTGGATCATAGTCAAGACATGGTTCTTGTCTAGGTGCATTTATAAATCTAGTGTTAAGCACTTAATCTAACAATCAATATCAGAGTTAAGGTAAGTGTTTGATTCCCACTGGGGAATTGCTGAGTGAGTGATGGTCGGCTGAGGTGTCATAGCCATATCCCATGACAGAGGCCCTAGTGCAGGGACGTCATAATGAAAAAGGAATTGTGCCCTGATGTGTGCGTGAGCGCGTGTCACTTAGTGATAGTTGTTCAGTCTAACAAAGATATCATATCTTTGACCCAATGGTAAACACCAAAATCACAAACAAGTAGTCAATCATTTCATCTATAATAAACCCACGATCCTCAAACAAATGTTTAGGGACAAAAGAGAAGTGATTGAAATATATGTGAAATTATATTTAACAAAGAAATCTAGTTATGGTAGAAATATAAAAGGTAAAAAGGGCTGTGAGAAAGTTATCTAAGCGATGCATCTAATCAAATTACTGGATATTATATGAACAAAACCCGTGGATTTTTTGGCTTACCCAGACACGATGATGAATTACTTTCTCCTAGAGAAACACCATCTGAAGGTAAGACCAGAGATCTGAGTGAAGCATCCCCGCCTACAAAAAGCGCCCAAATAAGGAATTAGCGTAAACCAAATCCACATATAACAATGACGGCAGGATTTTAACCATCAAAGACTTAAATTACATGGTAGCTGCGATATGTACATATGTAATTTCCAACCCTCTTTCAAGGCATAGCTTGCCGTATCAGGATACACTGGGGCCAACTCAAATGGTATGATATCATCCTCAACTTTGAACCGTTTGCATCCATTGCCAGGTATATGCTTATTACCAGTTTCAGTAAGATGTTGAATCTGTGTATAGAAGAACCTGGTGTGAATAGAAAAGAATGAACAAATATCCCTTCACATGACAAAAAGGAGGACTTGCTTTCCTTACAAAAGCCTTTGAACACCCCAAATGGTAAAATGTCCAAAAATCACAGTAAATATTTTCCAGTATCAGAAATGTGGTTCGTATCAGCCATACAAATTTTTTTTTTAAAAAAAATGAATTTTCCAAATAGATATTCAAATTAGAGTGCCCAACTCCATATACAGTCTTAAAGTAAAGAAAATACCTTAACAAAGCTCTTCGTGATATAATTTCAGCATGAGAATCATTGACAACATCACCATAAGGGCGCAAAAGTGAGCGTCCAATACACTTCGTTCCTGTTCCCAGAGAAACAACCTCCAAATCTGAAACCCGAAATGAACTAATGATTTCCTTTGCTCAATATATATGTACGTATATACAGCTTCCAATAGAGCAAGGGAAATGTACAGGACAGAAATCCAAATTTCTAGCTTGTATATGCCAAACAGACTTAGAGAGAGAGAGAGAGAGATTCAGAGAGCAAAGAAGACAGTGAGTGAACCATTGGAAGGAGAAGAAAGAAGGAAAGCAGCCAAGACAGTGACTTCGCGCCCTTGAGGTTTGCCTTTCTTGGGAAGAGAGTTGTACAAAGCAAAAACTGTATCCGATACTCTCTGCGCCCAACCCTTTTCATCTGAAGGTGAGACCGGCGAGGCCATGAACGCTGCTTTTGGAAGTGTTAAGACCGCCCTCAGTTACGACTGGACGCGGCCTGAACGGAATGAGTAAACTTTTACTCGTTTTCTTGGCGGAAAAAAGGAAAAATTCTCGTTCTCTTGTTGGCAAAAGCGTGCAATAACTTGTGGATTGAATGAAAAATGATGGTAATTAATAATTAATAAATGTAAATAATGCACTGACCTAAATTTTTTTACACAAAAAAAAAATAAACAATGAATTGTAATATATAAAAAAATATATTTATTTAGTTGTTAGTCACTTAACTCAAAAAACGTTAGTCGTTAATAACAACTTTTTCATAACAATCATAATTATTTTGAAAGAAAAAACTTGATATATTAGTATCTGAAAATAATTTGCCTTAAAAATTAAAAACATACTTTAAAAAAAATAGAAAAACAATTACAAATTGATATCATCGTGAGCCATTGCAAGCTTGACAACAGCAATTTTATGATTTGCGTCAATGACGCTCCGAAGGTAAGCTGATATAATAATGAAAGAAAGTATCACTAGCGTTATTGCCACCATCTTGCGTCATACCCCAAAGCTAACATTCCCTGCCCTCAAACAACAGTTACAGCAATTATATTAATTATAGAAAATTAAAATATTTCCCATAATTTATCCGGCGCGAATAGAATGTAAGCACAAAAATTTTCGTTTGAGTATTTCAATTCCATATTATGTAACTTAATAATTTTAATTTTTTTAACACACTAATTGATAAGTAACGGCAAGTTATCATCACAAGCACTCCACCAGTGTAGGAATCACCCATAACTGCTTGTATGGCGTCCAAAAGGAATTCTGCGAGGCAAGCTAAGCAAAGCCACATGACGAATGTCACAATACATTAACATAAAAAGTTGCTAGCACCATTAGCATACAATTTCTGCAACAATTGTCCTCTCAACACCATGCACGATGCAACTAAGATTGCAAAGCCCATTCAAGTGTGGCAACGATCACATCAAGCACATGATCACTGCCAAGGCCCAACATAAGCAGGAAGATGCCAAGGCTAACATGATGTATCACTAGCAGTCTACAATCTAACAAATAGCATGATAACGAAGGGTCAATACATAAGGCGTAGAGGATCGTACAAAAGAAACTACAGCGACAGTCGAAAACAAACACTTGCAAATGTAACCATAGAAATTCCAAACTTGGCCCGACATATATAGGTCCTAGAAATTTTTCAGGGCTCTTAACCACAAAGTAACGAAAAAGCATTCAGCAAGGGGTCCAACAATACCCCAATGATCATTGCACATTGTTCCATCTTCCAGATTCAGAGCCACATACCCGCCCGCTTGAATGGCCACTCACATCAACCTGAGACACAGGAATAATCCATACACACACGTTACAAACTATAAGTACACTCACTGTATTAGATGTAATAAATTAAGCATCACAGCAAGTCAAACATTCTAAAACAGTGAAAGCATCCGGGCATAAAATAATGTACGGAAATGGTCTCAGATTTGAAAATACAACCCTTGACGTGACCATCCTCTTAAAGGAAAAAAGATTAATAATAAGTCATCACGTGTCCTTGTATAAAGCATATTCAATAGAAAACCAATCAAAACCATTCAAGCTTTTTTTTTTCTTTTTAAACTATGGACAACATTTAAACACACCACTCATAACCATGCGGACTAGAGCCAGAAACCTCGCTTCATGAAGAGGGAGGGATTTGGTAAAAACCATGCAATATTAATCATCAATAATGTACAAAACCATTTCATTTTGATTGGTTGGTGATTTTTTAAAAGATTACGCTGAGCTATTACCATCAATTTACGCTTTTCCTAAAAGGGATTTAATTGATTAAGCCATTGTCTAAACATGAGAATATATATTATGAAACCAACTTCTGTATTTTCAAAACATATTTTTACAAATGTATTTGCACTTCTCCACAACAATGATTGTCAGCCATCAGAGTGCCAACTATAAACACAACACAATTTTCCCAGAACCTACCACTTACCATTGCTATTCACCACAGTTGGGAACACAACCCTGATAATTATCCAAGTCACCGGCAATAAATTGCCTGATCAATGTGTGGTGGAATTTGCTTTATTTCAGTGCCAAGTTCTTGCTCAATCCTATATCTGAACAAAATTGATAAGGAAAAAAAATCAATATCTATAGCAAATACGTTTAAATTCAAGTCTAAATGTATATTACATACAAATTAAAGCGATCCTCATAGGTGATCAAGTTAACTGCTAGACCAAGATGCCCAAACCTCCCTGAACGACCAACCTGTGGATAGGCAAAACACAAATGAGACTACAAAACATACAGAAAATTGCTACTAAGATAAACAAATTAAAAAGAAGACTAAGAAGGCTCTAACATACCCTGTGCAGATAAGTTTCTGAATTCTTGGGAAAATCAAAATTAATGACCACATTAACTGCTTGAATGTCTATTCCCCTGGTAAAAAGATCTGCATTTGTTTTCCAATAAAGAGGAAACAATGATAAATTAGAAAAATAGAAGTCAAAACAAACAGCCAGTTTAGCATATGCTAATTCTAGACATGCTCTATACAATCAGACGGATTCAACAAATTTATAACAAATACCATCACTTGTCTCATCATCCGAACATTACCAATTAATTTCACAGAACAAATATGGGTTATACTAGTATAGATTACACAGTTAAATCCTGTAAATAAACAAATTAAAATAATTAAAGAATTTAAAAGATAAAGAAAAGTGGTCATCAGCCACAATTACATAAATGAAATAGCAATTTGGGGAAATAAGAACCACCACTAGCACACAGACTTAAAGACATTGTGGACTTTTTTGACTTTGATTTACTGTAAATAAGTTTAACAATTAGAGGTATTATTGTGCATTCTACTTTGTACAGGGGACATTTGAGTAAGCTTGCTTCTTCCACAGGCCTATAAATAGAGACCGCCAGCCCACTTGCAATTACCAGAAACATGCATTCAACGAGAATAGAAATTCTATAAAATTCTCTGATCATAGTTCTTCAGATATAAACAATGAGGGACAGGTAAGTGCAAAAGTACTAGAAACATACCCGTACAAACAAGATTTCTACAAGCACCATTGCGGAAGTCATGGAACACTCTGTTTCGATGATCTTGCAACATCTTTGCATGGATATAGAAGCATGAATAGCCAAGTTCTGTGATTTTCTTGGCAAGGAGCTCAACCCGATTCACCGAATTGCAGAAGATAATTGACTGATTTATTTGCAGCTGAAATGAACAAGCCATTACAATATTTATCTCTGGCTAAGATAAGTTTAGCGGGAAAAAAAAGGATAAAGATAGATCAAACCTTAGAGAAAAGTGTATTGAGGCAGTGGACTTTCTGTCTCTCTTCCACAAATGCATAAAATTGTGTAATACCTTTCAGAGTTAACTCATCCATAAGGTTAATGATATAAGGTTTCTGAAGATATCTATCTTTGAAGTCCTTAACAGTAACAGGAAAAGTAGCTGAAAACATCAGGATTTGACGGTTCGGAGGCATGAAATGAATCAATTGCTCTATTGAAGGTTGGAACTCTGGTGACAAAAGTTTATCAGCCTGAAAGACAAAAAAATTTTAAGATCCTCATATTGATAAACAATTATAATAGTTAGATGACTAATGTTTGGAAAGCCACATAAAGAGCACAAGTGAAGGGCAGAAGAATGATGCGCTCAACATTTACAATATAAATTGGAAATACATAATGCATACACCCTCCGTTGTGCGCACCCATTAAAAAGGCTGATAAGTAAACTAGATTTTAAAAAATATATAATAGTATTTTATTACAATAACCTTACTTATTATAATGCCCTAATGAACTTCTCATTTGTTGAAGGGTGAAATTGTCCCCCCCAAAAAAAAAAAGCTTTCTTGAAAAACCTAAAGCAACAATTATTTTGAAACAAAACCAAACCTCCAGAATGACGATTATTTTGTAACCAAGGGGGCATTACCAACTTGGAAGTATAACAACAGACTCCCAATCCTAACAGATTTAACAAAATAAGAAAGATAACTAATCGGGCATCAAACCGTAATTTTTGAATAACCTCAAATTCTGTCTCTTCAAAACAGTTCTTGAACCTCCCCATCCCCTAACTGGATTCTATATACATTTGTAAAAGTTATTTACCTCATCCATAACAAGCATATTACAGTCTTTCAAAACGCAGACACCCTTCTTTGCAAGATCTAATATTCTTCCTGGAGTTCCAACAAGTAAATGAACGGGTTGATATAAACGCATGATATCATCTTTCAGGCTGGTACCACCCGTCGTAACCATGACTTGAATACTCAGATGCTTTCCGAGCTCTTTACACACTTGTGACGTTTGCAAAGCCAATTCACGTGTTGGGACCAGTATAACAACTACATAATAGATATAAGCAAAAATAGTCAGCATGAGTGGTGACTATCTCATTAAAAATAATTTGGACACCATCAACAATGGCACCAGCCATCTGCCATGACCATTTCCAATCAACTTGAAAAGCAAATTCTGTCTCTACATTTATCTTTCCAGTCTAATAATTACAAGGATGCAAGAGCAGTAAATAAAAACTTAACAACTAAAATAATTTTGAAAGAATTTAAAATGCATGGACAAAATAATATATATTTCTCAACAAATTCTTCTCAATGCAGAGCCTTCCAAGGCTAAAAGATAAAAAACAATTCCATGTCCTTTCATGCTGAGCTTATATCGTAACAGGCTCCACTAGTTTCCAAGAAATAAAGCTTCTAGCAGGACAAACCTTGAATAACATTGTTATCCTGATCAATTTTTTCTAGTGCCGGAACGCAAAAGGCAGCTGTTTTTCCAGTTCCATTTTTTGCTCTAGCGAGAATGTCACTACCAGTAAGAGCAATTGGGATACTTTCTTCCTGGATAGGAGAAGGCCTTTCAAAACCCTTCTCATATATTCCCATAAGCAGCTCACGCTTCAAAAAGTAATCTTCAAATTCATTTCCTTTAGTTGCTGTCACATCCTAGGAAACAATAAGACAGGTACAATTTATTAGGCTTTTCAAATAAACGGAAAAACATCATGTGAACGTCATGCAAAATGTGAGGGTAAAATCAGTGCGGATAATCAATCAATCAACGCATAAGATAATATTAATCAAAAGCATACCTCAGTCCTATAGCGAGTATCAGGTGGTGGTATCTTCAATCTTGCCTTCCAATCTTGAGAACTAACAACATAAAACGAAGGAGGATAATATTAGGACACCTTCAATTATTTGTTTAAAACCTAAAAATTAGTTATGTTCAGCAGTGAAGTATGCTGCTGCCATGAAAATGCATGCCACAGCTGTCAAGTAAACAGGTTTACATGGCGCCAGTTCCAAAATCTTTGACAAACTCAAAAAATCATAATTGAGCATATATTAATCCCATGCCTGAAAAAATCGCAACTGGCATTAAGCCTGCGTTAAGGGAATAAGAGCTCCACCGTGAATTTGAGTATTAAGGTGCAACAGATTTGCATGCGTAGAGAAGGTTCCATTTAGTAATCGGACATAATTTAAAATATGCAAATCAGAACCTTGGTGAACGGAAAGAAGGAGGAAAAAGAGAGAACTGAGAATTAATGAAGCACTTCTACTTGTTCCATAAGTTAGCAAAATTATGATCATTTAGAACAATCCCAACTTTAAATACCTTGCAGGCAATCAGATAGAAGAAAACAGAAAGCCCTAGAGTCGCTTCTTGAACAAAAAGAGAAAGAAATTAGACAAATCGTTGTATTGATCATTAAAACGATGTTAACAGTCCAAAATTTCTCAACCTATCTAGTCAAACAAACACCAAACAAAAGAAAGAAAAAAAAAAGTCTCTAAATACGAAGATGTTGCTGTTTGTTTATTTGATATTCTTAGGCAGAAAGTCAATCACACACATCTAATTACCAATACGGAAAAGGTATCGTGCCAAGTACATTCTTTTCTAACCCCAAAGTTTCAAAATCCTATACACCTCCAACACATTCAATCTTAGCACATTACACTTCCATGATAAGGAGCATGTCTAAGACATAAAATTTCAAGAACTGCACCTCGAATCAACGGCTTCAGACTGCACAGTCTTCTCGACCTCGTCAACTACGTTAGAATCAGCACCAATCAATTGCGTTCTTCTAAGCCATTGTTGTTGTTGCTGCTGCTGCTGCTGTAACTGCTGATGTTGCTGTTGGTACTGTTGATACTGATGCGGATACTGCTGTTGGTTCTGCACTAAGTGCCTTTGCACATACTGTTGCTGAGGGGGTCGCGGTTGAAACGCAGGGTTCGAGTTCATGCCTCCCCCCCGACCTACGCCAATCCCAGGTGGATACCTAGCTCTATTGTTCATTCCGCCGATTCAAAAGAAAAAACCCACCGAAATTTCTAAGAAAAAATGTACAAAATGTCAAAGATGCTACAAACTACAAATTTAGGGTTTCTTGCAAAGTGGAACCACACCCACAAATGCTTCTAGAATGGCTTGCGTTTAAACCTAAATCTGCCAAAATCTAAAATTTCTGAGTATAATACAGAGCTAAAGGACCCAAAAATAGAGAGGGTTTCTACTGTGATGGCAGGAATAAAGTGACGGCAAAAATCGTTAGGGATTTGTACAGATCTACGCAAAAATAGTGCAATATGAAGAGAGGGTTGGCCGTAATCTATATTCTGCTCAGAAAAATTGACGAAAAACCAGAAATCGAACAAGAGGAAAATGATTTCTTAATTTCTCTTGCTTGCTTGGTGTTTCTTGGGATTGATTGCGACGTTGTCGTAGCAGCAGGAATGGCGAGACCTCCTTCCAAGTTCCTAGGGCGTCAAAAAGAAGATTTGTTCAGTTGGGTGAATGGCCCCGCTTCTTGGCTAATAATGCACAAAGCATCGCACTTCTTTTAAACCCGCTTTTCGGGCCATCATAGACCGACTTTATATATTATGGACAAATATATACTTAAATAGATACTGTTAATTAACGAAAATGATATAAATTAACATTTTAAATCTTAAATATGCTTCTACAACTTGCATGCCGTCACCATACGGCTGTTTTTTTTTTAATTATTGTTAAATTAATATTCTTCAGATTCTTTTTATAAGCTCTAATGAATTACTTTATATTAGTTGCGATAATTGATTAAAATTAATCATTCTTTTATAAAACCTCAAAATTACATTCAATAAAGTCAGTAGTTATAAAAAAATTGATTAATTATTATGCAAAAATATGGAACTCCCAACCCTTCAAGTGACTCTTTGGGCTCTCTTTCACCACACGTAAATTAATATTCTTCTCTCGTCATATATTCTTTTCTCTTCAGTTTGTCTCTTGCTCCATAAAGAATCAGGCATGGAGGAGTAGAGGCCGTTCAACTTCTGGATGTGAGATGTTGGTTAAGGTCTCTGCCCACACGTTCTCATTTGCCCAAGACCAGAAAAAGGATGAAATACCACAAAACATGATTCGACGGGGTTAATAGGAATTAGGAAGAAAAGAAAACGTGTTGGTCTTTTCTTTTATCAATTTGTATGTGATACTTTTGAAAAGCAAAGTAATATACTAAATACTCAGATCATAAAAGAAAGTATACCCTTAAAACTATCTAGCGAAAAAGATGAACTCCAAACCATAATAAAAGGAGGGGAAAAAACAGCAGAGACAAGGCCATAATGCATATCAAGCTTTTTTTTCCAGGTCCACAACGCCCTTCTCTTCCTATGCTCAATCATCATAACAGAATGGTCAAGCCTTTTGAATCCAGGCAAACAGTATAAACTTCCCAGTGCACTAAATTTAGGGAATGAGATTAAGATGCTAATTACATGCATCAAATTCATGACGATAATACAGGGAAAACTGGCAAGGGTTTCTACCCTCCAAAAACACCAAAAAGTAGCATCATTATTTGTTGCGTTTGGCAGCACGTCTTCCTTGGCCTTTCTTGGGGGGTCCTTTTCCTCGCCGCTTCAACATTTCCAGTCTTGATAAGCGCCTGTAGGAAGATAATAAGCATAAAAAATCACATTACTATCCACACAATTAGTAAAAGCCAGAAGGGTTTCGATAAAAACACAACATCATTTAGATAACCAATGTTAACCACTGACCAACTTGTTCTCTTAAACATAGAGCAGATATTGGAGAAGTTTTTATGTTGAGAAATAGGCACCGACTTATAGGTAAAAAAGTAAGCAAAAATACCCAATCAATACAGAATGAAATCCCGCTGGGGAAACACCAAAATGAAACTATATTTCATTCGCCTAGGTCTAGCTTTTGTTTTCGAAAAGAATGAAATCACACAAAGGAATCAACAAAAAAGGAACTAAACTCAGAGGCATGGAGTGGACACCAATGGCAAACAGATCATTCAGACGGTGGAGCAACAACCCAAAAGATCTTATTTTCCTGACAGATTGTTAAAAAAGTCCATAGTAGATAAGATCGATGTTTTGATGTTTGATTGCTGTTCAGAGTTTTATTTGGATATTGAAGTGCAGTGAAGCAATTCAAATTCCTGAAAAGAATAACCCATATTCCTTAACATGCAGAGACCATCACGCAGCTTAATGCACGTTTAATTTCATGTTAGATATGCCGTAAAGCTTGTTAATCAATAAAAATAAACTGCTAGGTAACAAAAAATAGTAAGCAGATTGTCCAGATAACGGGCAAAGAGCCAAAATATAACATTCTGCCATGAGACCAAGAATTGCTGCCTAAAGATAGGTGCTATCCGACCTTATTTATAAGAAACAAGTGATATTTAAAATTTAACAAGTCATTTACCAGCATATTTATAAAGCTCTAGAACTGTGTGTAGTTTTCCAAAAGCTTTGAATTTAGACAAACAGACTGATTCTATGGGATCAAATGTGTGCAACGGCATCATAAGAAAGCCGGAGTCAATTGGGTCAAATAGTATTACTAGGGATGGGAACTCCAAGATTAGCCTTAGAAATGAGTAAGAACATAAGTTCAGAGTATAGGAAATGAATAAGAGCCTGACGAGTCATTCTCAAAAAAATTAGAAAATATATGATTTAATCTTGCCAACATCTGAAATTGCTTGAAAAAGATAATTAACGCAAAGTATGTTATTTTCCAAGTGTGGTCGATGACCAAATTGTTAATTTTCCCAAAAGAAAAACAGAATGAAGAAGACCCAGAACCTACTTCTGCACAAATTGATAGTCAAAACATAACCCACAATCCAAAATACCACAGAGACAAACAAACAAACACATGGCAGACATGCAGCATTCACTGTGCTTGGTTTCATGTCGTTCGAGTGAGAGAGCAGGGAAAGAGAGAAGTTACTCTTGCTCTTGCTGGGCCATGACGAGAGGGTCGTCTCGCTGAATGTCATAAGGGTACCACTGCGCCACTTTTTCACCGATAAGCTTCTTCCGCAGAAGCTTATGTGCAGATCTCTTGCCTGTGGGATTGAGCACATGTCCGAATATCCTTGCTCGCGCCTCAGTCACTCCCTGTGTTACGGCCGCCGCCAGAATGCTCTTCAAGCTCCCGCTCGCCATTTTTGCTTTCGCCAACAGCCTGCCTTCGTCCCTCCGACGTTTTAGCCCAGGCGGATCAGAAACGAGATGGATCGGGTTGAATCAGTTCCCGACTCATTTTAAGTTTTAACCCGAGTTATGTGAGCCGTATGAATAAAATTATAAGTCAATTTTAAATTGCGCTTCAACTTTAATTTTTAATTGTGGTCCCTATTTAGGTGAAAACACAATGAACACAAAATTTTCTTTATTTTTTTCCTTTTTGTATTTTTCTACCTACACAATCTAAAATGTTAGTTCAATGAAAGATGATATCGGGATCATAGGTCCCGTTTGGTATGAGTTACTGAATTTTGAAGCACTGGGCATGGGATTGGAAATGGCACTGGGCATGAGTTTGGGAATGGGATTTATTTTTAAAATCGTGTTTGGTGTGACGTGGGATTAAAAAAAACCCAACAAGACCGATATCTAACAAAAATTAGCTAAAAGACAAAATTGCCCACATATTCCATTGTTGCTGCGACTGCGGCCTTGATCGAACATGAAGATGGAAAATCGAATACCAAGAATCAAACACATATTAAATATCACATTGAAATCCATCTTTAATCCAAAGAAGCAATCAAGATTAAGAAGAAATCTCCAGATTAGAGCACAAAGGAAATAAGGAAACCAAATTGAAATTGAATTCATGCTTTTTCGAATAGATCAACGATCCTGCAGGAGGAGAGTGTCGCTTGCAAATTTGGACATCTTCATGCTCGCCAAATCTAGTTTTAACATCGGGAATAGAGATGACGGAATCGCAAGGAAGGGAGGGAGATGACGGAGAGATGACTTGCCGAGGAAGAAGGTTGCTGACAAAATGCAACAGAGGACGGAGTTAATGGACTCACGATGAAGGATGGTGATGACAGGAGAGGATATTGCTGGAGAAGAAGGTTGCTGACGGAATCTCATAGGAGGATGAAGATGATAAGGGGAGGACGTCACTGAACTTTAATGGTTGTCGAGGGAGAAGAAGGGCATCAGGACTGAGTAGTTGATGGGGTGTAATTAAGCAAATTTTAAGAGGCTATTTTAGTCAGTAAACTTTCAATCCCAGGATTAAAATTGCAATACCGGGGGGGAGGGTGGTACTGGTTAATCCCATGAGCGTGGCATTGTGCAATCCCAAGTATTGACAAATACTTCGTACCAAACATATCAAATTGAGTCATTTCTTGTACCAATCCCAATCCCAACCTCTCATTCCCACGTACCAAACAGGGCCATAAGGTTTTTGAGCTTTTTTACCTAGAATTTTATATTCAATAGATTTCAATTCAATTTATCTTACAAATTGGTCATAATCAGTCTTTGTTGTTAATGAATTATTTAGAATAATCACTAGAATAAACATAAAACTGGCTCTTGTGGTTTAAAAAGAAAGAAAGAAAGAAAGAAAGAGTTCATCATAACAATGCCCTTAGCGAATTCCTAACTAGAGTTGTGATATCAAAAATAAACAATATAATTTCAACAATTATCATCATTAATCACTCACATGAAGTAACCTCAACATTTAGTGTCTGCCATTTTCCACACCGACCTTGCTCTCAGAAACTTCTGAAGTGGATTCCACTTCCATTTTCAGCCTATCAATCTTTTCTTTCAGTGCTGTGACATTCAAGGAAGAAAGAATACTCTCTTTGATGCCTGCTGCAACATTTTCCACATCCTTAGGGCTTGATCCTTTGGGCAGCTCATCTTCCAATTCTTTAACTTTTTCTTTAAGGCCTTTTGAATTAACAGCCTTGTCAATTTCACTGAAGATTTCATTGTTCACCTCCATTATTTTCTGTTTTATGTCCGGCGTGGGGTTGGTTTCTCTTCTCTTGACTACTTTAACAACCTCCAAATTAGCTGATCTCAAGACCTCTTCTAGCTCTTTCTTGGCTTTCTCTGCTTCTATTACCAATTCTTTATCCAGTGAATTTCCATTTGATAGCTTTTCTTGAGCAGTCTTCAAATTTGCTATCTTTGTTTTAATATCACCTGAAACTTTCTGATTGATCTCTGCTTTAAGTTTCTCTTGTTTGGCTCTCATCTCAATCATCCTCTTCACAACTTCTAGCTTCTGAAGTTTCTGCTTCAATCCCATATAGGCACCTGGCCGTGACAATTTGTTGTTAAATTCTTGCATGATCGTATCCAATTTTTCCTTCAGGTTACGATCAAGGGGTTGATTTGGTGAGCGACTTGAGACTTTGGATAATTCCAGCCTCACAGACTCAATCTTCTCTTCTAATCCCATCGCAGAAAGCGCATTTGTTATCTCTTGGTCAACTTCTTGCTCGATCTTCTCTATTGCTTCTTCCCTAATAGGATCAGATGGTCCCTTAATTTCAAAAATTGTCTTCTTGAGATTTTGAAGCTCGGACTCAATATCAGTGATCCCAGAAGTGTTCACATCAGGTGGTTTCATGTTTCGCTTAATCTCTGGTTCCACAACTATGCCTTCTTGGAATTTTCCAATTGACCGGAACTTGAGCATTCGATGGCGTTGCACCTCATTTGCATCCATTTTTGCCAGCTCCTGTGCAGATTCCAGAGTTTCCTTCAGTGACAAGAAAGATTACTAGGAAAAAAATATATATCGAATTCGAATTTGGCCAGTCCATATTGAATTTGAATGACCCCCTCTAAACAAAGAAGGTATGCATGCGGAGACACATATTGAGAAAGATTGCTAGGAAAAAAATATCGCAATTTCAGAGATTAAAATTCATATAGACCGGACATAATTACCTCCATAGCCTGTGTGATTGCATGTTTAATTTGCTGCGACGTCCATGCAGGATCAGCATGTGCACCACCAAGTGGCTCCTGTGCGTAGAAATGTAAACAAGATCAGCACCAGCATCTGTGAATTTAAATGTTGTGAAAAACACGAAATACTTGACATACATATAATATTATGATGATCCCCCAGTTATCACTTATTTTTCCTCAAATCAAATTAAATAAGTTTCCTTATTTTTATACCTAGCCAAGAGTATTATGATATTCTGATGTACTTTTGCCTTTTTTATTCCTGATATCGTCTTTTGTTATAGCCCATAACTTACATGTCCGTGTGTTGTGGGTGTGCTCAGAACACTTACAGATCTCAACTGATTTCCTGGAAATTATTGCTTGTCTGTACAAGCTTTTAGTTGACAGTTAGCTAGCAAAATAGTGCGAATCATTTTATGTGCCATACAAATTCCGAGAGGAACTCTCAAATTCAGATTCCCTGAAAGTTGAACTGTTTATCGCCTGTAAGCAGGATTATTGTTGAAATAGAAAACAACGGGATATAATTTTCTGAAACATCTGAGCATCCATAACAGCATACAGATCACAGGGGAAACACAGTGAAAGATCAATGTACTTACAGGAATAATACCATCGGCAATTCCACGTTTGTAATGTTCCTGAGCTGTTATTCTTAACTTTTCGGCTGCCTATAGATTTACAGAGTCAACATATATGAAATACTACATTCGGTCCTTAATATAAAAACTGGTTGACTAATTTGATTATATTAAAAAAATTAGTTTAGTTAATTATTTATAATAAATAGGTGTTGTCTTTCCTAAAATATCTTTGCTAATCAAGTGTATTGGCTAGAACTACTATTATCATAAGGACTATCTTGGAAAAAAATAGATAAATATGAGAGACAAAGTGTATTGAGGTTTTATATTTAGGACTAAAATAAAAGTCAAACGAGTTGTTATATTAAAGACCTGAGGTAAGAAAAGATAAGATGCCTCAAATAACCATAAAGTTCATCTTAATGAATAATAACCTTAGGAGCGGCTTTGGAAGATTTCCACAATATTGCAGCACAAGCTTCGGGACTGATTAGAATAACATATCATTAGGAACTTTTTAGTATTGTTATATCTTTTAGACAGGACATTTCATAGAATGCAAAAAATGTAAGGAAAGCATAAAGCAACAAATTATGGACCCAATACATATGAAGTGATTAATGTTGGCACATTACCTTGCAACATAAAGTGCAGAATTCTCCAGCATAAACAGCTTATTGGCACAGGCTATTGCAAGTGCTCCACCTGAACCACCTTCACCAGTTACGACCGATATGATTGGGACCTGGAAGCCAAACATAGTCCTCAAATTTTGAGCTATTGCCTCACCCTGCAAAATAAAAGCAATCAAATGTGAAGTGAATATGGTGACCGCATGATAAAATCCAACTGTAGAGTTTAATAGAAGAAAGGAAAAGGTTATCCACACACACTTGGCCAAGTTCCTCAGACTTGAGATCAGCAAAGGCTCCAGGAGTGTCAACAAAAGTAATGATGGGGAATTTATGATGATCTGCATATTTCATCATGCGCAAAGCTTTCCTATAGCTGTTTGCATTAAATTTCTTAGTCAATATGTAAAATATACAAACACTTCAGTACTGTGACTTCAAATTTTATAGAACTGCATCATTTTAGCTGTTTATACACATATAAGTCAGAGTTAAACGTCAGATTGACGCATACCCATGAGGTGTTGGCATTGCAAAGTTCCGGGCAATGTTCTCTTTTGTGTTTCTACCTTTCTGATGGCCTATAAACATGTAACTTTTTCCATCCATACTACCTATACCTGTCACAATTGCTGGATCATCATAACCTGCTCGATCTCCATGAAGCTCCACCCACTGTAAGTTCCAAAATAAGAGGAGAAAGAAGCAAAGAAGCAAGGAAGTGTCTACAATCAATTGTAAAGATGATAAAAAGAACATATACCTTCTCTGTAATATTGAGTATATGATCAAGAACTGTTGGCCTGTTGGGATGTCGAGCAATTGCCAAACGTTGAATTGGTGTCAAATGAGTGTATAGATCTTTAAGAGCCTGAACCCAAATTGCAGAAATTCAGATTTACGGATGCGCGAAAAACTAATTATTTTTGCCCATAGCATTGGCAATCTGAGCAACAAGCTTAACGCATATATGAAAAAGCACATAAATGAAGAAATGAAAATGCGTTATGATTATTCCTCAATGAACTTATCTAAGTATTTGCAAGAAGATAGAATTTAATCAACTCACCTGTTGATACTTGCTCTCCAGAGCACCAATTTGATCGCTGAAGTCTAGTCCTGTGTCATCTGCCATTCTACGTACCTTTAAGAAAATGAAAATAAAAATATATAGACATATGTATGAAGGATAAATTGTGCCCAAAAGTAGAAATTAGGACATGTTGCTTAGCTACAATAAGTTGTAAAATAGCTATGTTGGATACCATACATCTCCTTGTTGGATACTTAATGGTCTGTGATTAAGTTCTAGAGTAAAATTTGTCGATGTGAAGGCATTCTGGAAAACAAACTTAAGTTACCTCTATAATCTTTTTTTCAAGATCAACGAGCGGCTTCTCAAAATCAAGCGTCACGGGTTTTGGCCTCTCAGGTAGAGGCTTGAAATGAGACAGGTAAGTTAAAAATCCACTACTGATATTTGGATCCATATTATCAGGCCATGGATAATCATGCTTATTACCCTTTTTAATCTTGGCGACAACATTAAACCTGTTTTCTTTTGTATTTCTGGGACCTGCTAAGTCCTTTGGCCAAAAACATGCCCTTTTGGATAAACTTCCAAGAAAATGACTTGCAGGGTAATCATTTCCTATGCACTGATTTGTCATTTCCCTGGCATGATCTCCAAATCTTCTTCTGCTAGCATAGTTTCCACCTACAATTGATATGGTAGTCATCTTCACAAGCTCAAAAATCGATATGGTTGTTGCGTATAATCTGCATCATTCCTGCATGCACAACTTGAAAAGGGAAGAAAAACATATAAGTATATTCAAAAGTATATTGCAACTGAATGAGCAGAAATCAAAAAAAGGGATATTTAATGGAAAAGGGTTGCAATCCCTCAGTCTTCCAGTGAGTCAATAGAAAGGAATGTCATGAGGTCAGCAGTATACATGCGTACGCCATTCAACAAATTTCATAGCTCCTTCAGTTTTCCGTCGGTTTCTGGCCAACCAAATAAAAAAATTGAATGGGTGTGGATTACCTTGAAACTTAAGCTTTCTGGGATTGTCAAGAGTACAGAAATCGTTCGGCAGAAACAGATGGCTGTGAAATATGAAAATCAGTTAGTCACAGACTCACAGTCAGACATACTGGATGAAAGACGAACATGCTCCTGGATAGAATCATAACAATAAAGAAGAACGAGATTCGGGTTTGAGGATAATAAAAGTGTGAACATGGGCCCTGTTTTTACTCTTCTGTATACGCAAATCCCAGACAATGGGAGTGCTCTGCTTCAAGAAGACGTTCTTTTTTTTCTTTTTTTTTTGAGGGGGGCGGCGGAGAAAGACAAGATCTTTGATTGGACAGTGAACACACGCGCTGGGGCTGTTGATTGGAGATGGCAAGGCTGGCTTGCCACGTCCTCAAAATTGTGGATAACTGATATTGATAACCCCAGAAGAGATGGGGCCCACAAAGTCAATGTCCAATTCATTACTTTTATTTTCATAAATAAAAAAATTGTTTTTTTGGGTTGGGGGGGTCTTCTCGTCCGCCACTTAAACCGTGCGTTTCATATGCTAAACAGTAAGCACCGATAGTTAATTGGTATTAATTTTTTTATAGAGCATTTATTTATAATTTTTAAAGTTTTTTATGCAATGTTTTGGCCATCTACCGATCAAAATAATTTGAATACTTCAATGACAAAACCATGTCATGATATTTCAATATCTCAGAAATAATAGTTTAAAAATAAAAATATCCTTTATCTGTTTACTTTTAGCTTTTAGACTTTAGGTGTATCGGTGATTATTATGACTAGGATTATCAGCTCTCATTCACCAGGTTTGAATATTCAATCTTATTTGGGATCGAAGTTTGATCTAATCAGTCCAATCGCCATTGATATGCATATATATATATATATAAATAGACACTTCTTTTCAATACAACACTTTTTCAATAGGTGGCATGTTATTCCATTTCAATAAATCGACTCTCTGATTTAAAAAAGGATGGCACATTTTTAAATTTTTAATATTATTTTATTTTGATGGGCACGGTATATATTAAATGAAGATACTTCTTCAAATGTTATTTTCTTAAAGAAATAGATTTACTATTTTAAAAATTAGAAATTAAAAGATGGGGACCTCATAAGTACACACACATATATATACATATACAGGTGGGCGATATTCCGACTTTCCATTGAAATTCAATTCATGATAAATTTGGACCGGATTCTTTCTCAGATTGATTTCAGTGCTAATATAAAAGGAAGGTGTTTTTATAGGAACACACATCGTAGGTAGGATTGGTTGCGTTGTCCCATGAATTAGGTTTGGAATGAGGAAGAGATCAAGTTTTCTAACCCGAGCTTTCTTCTTCATCATCTTCGTCCTTCTTTTCCTTCTGAGCTCTCTCTTCAATCGCATCGATCTCGTTTGTCTCGTTTCATTTGATTATGTAAGTCATTATTTCTTAAAACTCTCACCTCTTTTAGCTCCATCAGTTATAACTACTTGATTGATTTACTTTCATTAGAATGAAAGTTGTAGTTTCTAAGAATATAAACTGAGTATTATAAGTTTGTTTAAGATGCGTTTTCTTCTCTTTTGAGATTTGACTTGTTCTCTTTTTACAAATTTGATCGTTTAATTTGTTCCTTCTTACTGTGTTTTCTGGACTCAATTATATGGATGATTGAGTTCTTAAGCTCTAGAACAAATCCTTTAAATCTGCTCTCAAGTCTGGTTTTCTTTTTTCTTGCCTTGATACATTTTCTTCTTGATACAAGTATAGTTTTTGTTTGTGACGCATTGTGTTTCTCTGATTCGGAATATCATGCTTATTAATAAAATGTGATCTAATAATAGCACACTTTATATCACAATATATAAATGCGGATATTAAGTTATCTGTTACTAACATCTTGAATGATTTTTGCTAGTTATATCAATTAATAATATGCTTAAGTAGAATCTGCTTGCTATATTAAGTTATCTAGGTACTTTGATTTTGACTTATTTAATAACTTTTTTTTTTGGTCATATGATAAAAATCATCACTTAAATTTTGCTTGAAATTTTTTTCTTGATTTCAAAGCCAAGTCTTCTATTTGGCGATATAAAATATGTTTAAAATATAAAGTCCTCGCTAATTTTTTTTTAATAAAATTGCGTTTTTATTAGTTCCCGTACTTGATATAACAAAAATAATCAACATATTCAATTATAGTTCTAGTCATAGCAGTGGCGTTTGTTAATGAAGGCAATAATTGTCTTTTGGTGCATGCCTCACTCGTTAAGCATAATGGTTAAGTCGTGATTTAGATTTTAAATAGAGAGAGAGAGAGAGAGTTATATTTTAATTATTTTTCCTGATCATGTGTTAGTTAATGTTTTGATAGTTATTCATGATCCAACAGCTAATTTTCTAAACTTTATCCCTCTAGGAAATTCATTCAATTAAAAAGAATACTAGCTTATTTCATAAAATGTTAAAAATTGATTATCAAATGGGGGGAAATTAAATTCAGGCGAAAATAAGAAGCCAAATAAGCGAAGCATTGGAGGGAGGGGAAGAATCAGCATCAGCAAGAGAAGAATGTCCAGAGCACTTCAGGTGGATCCACGAGGATCTGAAGCCATGGAAGAGCAGAGGAATCAGCCGGGACATGGTGGAGAGAGGCACCGCCAACAACATGTCCAATTTCAGGCTCATCATCTTCAACGGAAAGCCTTACCTTAAAAAGTACAAGAATTGTTTTGCCACCAGGGACGTCTTCACTCTCTGGGGAATCTTGCAGCTCCTGAGGTTGTACCCTCACAGAGTCCCAGATCTGGAGCTCTTGTTCGAATGTGATGATCAGACCGTCGTCAAGAAGACCAGTTTTCCCGGCAATATTCCTCCGCCTCCTCTTTTCCATTATTGTGGGGATCATAATTCCTATGATATTGTCTTCCCGGATTGGACTTTCTGGGGCTGGTAATTAACGTTATTGCCCATCATGCGTACGTGATTGTTCTATATCTATGAAGGAGCTTTAGAGTAACGGATGAACATGCAGGGCTGAGACTAACATTAGGGCATGGGAGAGAATATCAAAGAGAATAGAAGAGAACAACCAGAAGAGGCAGTGGAAGGATAGAGAACCCTTTGCATTTTGGAAAGGCAATACCAGGGTGGCTCCTACACGCAATGCTCTCGCTCACTGTAATGCCTCCGATCAAAATCAATGGAAGGCCCATGTTTATTCTTTGGTAATACTTCCCCTCGTCTCATTTGGAAAACTTGCTCATAAATCTTCTATTGCCGAATTTATTATCCTACAGTGTCTAAGGATCAGGTCTTTAAGCAAACGTAACTTATTATCAGTTGTCTGCAACTTATTTTCAACTATAAACTAATATCTTTCATCTTATACAAATTTAAAGACAAATTGTACATAGTTAGAGGAGAGTTAGACCCGTTGAAAATAAATTGTAGCTGGATCCTTAGAACTTTTGTACAGTAGTTACTGGTTTTTTCCATCAATTTTTCCCATCTCGTTTCACCCATTTTTACTTCTTTTTATGAACTGATCCTTGACATGCACCGTTTGATATCAGCAATGGGATAAGGAAGCTAAACGAGGGCTTAACAACCACACAAAGCTGGAAAATCAATGTGACCACAGGTAAATTAAAGTTAGTCAAACTTTTTTTAATTAATTTCTCAAAATGAGTGATTACTATACTAATATTAAACAAAATGGAAGGTACAAGATATATGTGGAAGGGAGGTCATGGTCAGTGAGTGAGAAATACATACTGGCATGTAACTCAATGGCCTTATTAGTACAGCCCAATTACTATGACTTCTTCTCAAGAAGTTTGGTGCCTCTTCGCCATTATTGGCCCATCTCCATCCAAAACATGTGCCAACACATCACTTTTGCTGTTGAATGGGGCAACTCCAACATCGACAAGGTCCTAATAATTGCACATGTTTTTGTTTATTGTACCACTAATGACTCAATTAAAATTACTTTATTTTAGTTATTTGATAACGTGCATAATTAGTTGACACGAATAATGATCAGGCAGAAGCAATTGGGAAAGAAGGAAGCAAGTTCATAAGACAGAACCTGAGGATGGAGCTGGTGTATGACTACATGCTTCATGTGTTACGAGAATATGCGAAGCTGTTGAGGTTTGAGGCCACCATATCAGAAGGAGCCGTCGAGCTGTCTCTTGAGTCATTGGCCTCTATGGTTAATAGAAAGGCCAGGAAGTTTCTAGAAGATTCCAGGGTGAAGAAGCCAGCCACAGATAGAGCTCCCTGCAAAATGCCTCCTCCTTTTCAACCTCAAAAGCTTCATGTCTTGCTCCACACAAAGGAGAGTCTCGTCAAGCAGGTGGAGATGGAGGGCAATCAATACTGGCAAACCCTTCATAATACCAACTAGTCAATATAATATATATTATTAAATCTCTCACAAAATCGCATTATACATTCATTCTTTGAATTAAGTGGTGTAATGCACGAGAAAATTAATGTGTTTAGTTAACATTTAATTTTTTTTTTTATGGTTTGCAGTGAGAAACATATCTTTCATGAATGTTATATTGACATGCAAATTTTGTTAGTTATTTTTTTTTCAAAAAAAAAAGTTGATCGTTTAATTGAGATTCACGTTGCTTATGAACATGTAATATTTTTTTAAATGCATAGCAAAACTACACACAAAGTTTACATGAATATATTTCCTAAAATCTTAAATATAAAAGTTATTTAGCAGGTTTATTTTGATCTTAAATATAAGATATTGATCTATTTCTTCTCCCAAGCTTATAATTTTTCTTCCAAATCATCCCCATTAAATGCATATATTAATTTTCATTGAGAGAGTTTCAACGCAAATAATTAAAGAGAATATTTCAAGATATAGCTGTTTTGAAAAAAAAAATCTAATTTAATTAATTTTTAAGTCTCTACTAGTACTGACAAGTTATTTGGATTTTTTTTTTATATTAGGGATAGTAGAGAGTGCTAGATTTCTTGATACATAATACCATAATTCCATAAAGTCTAATTATAAAAAAGAAGGGTATACAAGAGTTTGCATGGAAATTATGTCGAAGTTTAGAACAAATCACAAGAGGAGGTTGCAAATATTTTTTTAAGAGACCAACAAAGTCTTCGTTTACTAAAGTCAGTGTGATACGCGTTATCCAAGCTCACTGAATTCTAAATTATAAGATGATTAAAATAAGTGAGAATATACCAACAAGTTGTTAAGATGGTAAGTAATTTCAACCCGTAAAAAAAAAACAAATTTAAAATTTAAGAAGTGCACTTATTGAAAATGCTCCCATCCTGACAGAGATTAATTTTAAGTCTAAAATGACTTGATGAAGATGTTTTATATTAAAACAAAATACAAATTTGGAATAATTAGCTCGAATATCTTAACGAAGGATGATAACATTGACTTCTCAAGTCTTTGCCACTAAACATGTCGATTAACTAAATTTTTTAATTGGCCTGGAAAAAAAATAATTTTTTTGAATTATGATATAAAGGCAAGAGATAGGATTTGAAAACATCAGTTTACCAATATTATATTGTTTTTGTAACCCCAAGTGATCAACATACAATTAAAAATTGTAATAAGTTTGATCATCTGTTTGTTTCTATTTAAAAATATATAATAAAAAAGTTGCACCCATATTGACTAATAATATTGATCCACCCATTGATTGATATATAAAAATAAAATTTCACAAATTCACGCGTGTTGACTTAATATATTATACTTATCAGCTCAGTCGTTGCCGTATTTAAATAAAATCGTGAAAAGAACCAAAACAATTAAATTTGATTAAATAATTTATAAATGTCTTTATCAGCCAGTCCACGAGACTACGATGCATCCTCGCGCCTACCACGGTAGTTAAAAGGCCTAAATAACTTACATAAGAAGGGATTGTTTTTTGGTTATTTTATTTTCTTTTTGCCAAGAAAAAGAAGAAAAGAAAAAAGGAAAGAAAATTGCCATCACTTGTCTTCTTGATACACACATATATAAATTCTACTTCCAATGCATGTCTATTTCTATCTCGACACAGCGCTGAGAAAGCAGAGGATCCTCATGTGATTGGCTAAAACAGTATCCTACAAATTTTCGTAGAATTGAGTGGTACTAATCCGATTTTAATATAAAATCTATTTTATAGTACAATTTATATTACGAAATAAGTTTTATATTAAAAGTCAAAAAATATTGTTTAGACATAAATACGTCATGACAAATTTATAAATTGGAGGATGGCTAAAACCGTAACATATAGGCTTCAGGTGGAATCATGTTTAAAAACATTTATAAGCACTTTTCATATAAATAGCTTATCATTTCAAACAGGCCCATAAAAAATAGGATACTAAGAAACACCAATACCAACAAATACGATACGATATAGCATGATACGTTGAATACGGCAATGTTTGGAACTTAAGGATGAGTACGGGAATATACATAGATGTAACATATTTCAACATTTTAAGGGATGGAGGCGAGAATATTTAAGTTTTAAACAAGTACTACCTCCGGTCCTTAATATAAGATCCTGTTTGACTTTTATTTTGGTCCTAAATATAAAACCTCAATCCACTTTATCTCTCATATTTATACATTTTTTTTCAAAGTAGTCCTTCTAACAATGATAGTTCTAATTAATACACTTGATTAGCAAGGATATTTTAGGAAAGACAACACCTATTTAGGACAAATAACTAACTAAACTTACTTCCTTAATCTTCTCAAATTAGTCAACTGACTCTTATAATTAGGACCGGAGGTAGTATTTCTAAAATAATATAAAGATATTGATAATAAGCAAAGCAACAAAAACCATATGACTGATTGCTGGTTTAGAAAAAAGGATCGATATTATAAAAATAAAAAAATGTTTTAAAAAAAAATTAAAAAACGCATCAATGATAGTAGGATTATAGGAACCGAAGCATGTCATAGTGTAACTTCGTATAAAATAGGCATCGTTGCAACGTATGTTGCCGTTGGCACGTGTGTGAGGACGGGGCCGGCCGACCCCACTCTACCTCTACGCTTGGCGTTAACATTTCAGAACTTCGTTCATTGGCGCCAGCCACGCTTACGCTTGGCGGCTATAAAACTGCAGGTAACGACTTTTGGTCTTCGCCCCTGCCGTTTCGCTCGTTTTTGAATTCAACAATCTCCCGTCGGAAATTCTCATATTCCATTCCCTTCCTGGCTTCTGTACTTCTATCCACCGTCCCTCTCCTTCTCCTGCAACTCTCTGTTCTATTCGTCTCATTCAATATTATGCTTCCTCGTTGAAGCTACTCCGTCCCCCCTTATCCTTTTGTTTTTGCCTTTCCCCTCTTTCCTTCTCCATAAGCTCTTTAAGTGATCGTCCAGAAGGTCAAACCTGAGGTGTGTTCCTCTTCTGATTCTCCTTCACCATTTTTTGGCTTATTTTATTGTTTTTCTATGTCTTTCTTTCTGGGGTATCGCGAGACTTGTGCTAGTCTTTGGTTAGATACTTTTTCTTGTTTCGGGGAACTTTTATGGTTCTAAAGGTGTTTGATGTATGGTTCCGTGAGTATATTCGAGTGGAATCTGCTTTTGGGGTTAAAGTTATGGGTTTTCAGGATTCAGTTTTTTTCCCTCCTCGGGAAAAAATGGCCTGAGAGTTCGTTACAGAAATAGCTCCTGTGCTTCCAAAATATGTTGATTACAAATATTGTAGTTGGTTTATTTCGCTTCATCCAAGAGGAGTACGTCTTGAAGCCTTGGTTTTCTTTCAATTCATTTTATTTTTAACCAGAGGTTTATGATTCACCTCTGGATTCCCGTCACAACACAAGAAGGGGTTGCCTTTTGTCCCTGTTCCAAGCTACGTATTTCTCAAAACTTTGGGAATATAAAGTATACATGTCCGTTTGCTTATGTCTTACTTTTTGGTGATAAGACCGTTGCTGGATTCGGTGGTTGATAACTTCATACTTCTGCACTCCTCCTCTTTTCCTTGAGCTTAAAGGAATACTTGCTTTTTGGCGGAATATTCCCTCTTCTTTTTTGTTATGCAGCTTTTCTTGAAAATAATTTACATTCAGTTCTTCTTTTTTTTTTTTTCTGTTTAATTCATCGTGTTTAGTTCTGTTCCATTGTTGATTTTCCTGATTGATTGGAGTTACAAGTCTCTTAAATAAAACAAGCTTTTAAAAATAAATTCAGATGCCTTTTCCTTTCCCTGATGGTCGAAACACTGTATCTGTGCTTGAATAATCAGTATATTGGGAATTTCCGACTATTTATGCACATATCGTAATATGCAGACTCGGAAAATCTAGAGATGCATTGAATATTGTTAAGGATAGCTGCGTCTCCAGCTTTACGTAATACCCTCAAGTACATCATGCATTAATAAAACGAAAAAGGAAGAGTTTTTCTGCCAAAATAACTGAAATTTGAAACATAGATGCTTCATGTCTCAAGAACTCTAGCATATGTATTCCAAATTCACTGAGAACTGCTTTATTTCTTTTAGACTGCTTCTATGGACATAGTAATACGATCAGGAAAGCATGAACAAAGTGCCAGGCTAAGGAATATCCAGTTTAACTCATTAACCTTGCCTCCTCTTGTTTCTTTCTGTTTCAGATATAAACAACTTTCCCTCAGCAAAATTTTTTGGAGGCAAATTAAATGGCAAACCTCAAGCTTGGTGTGGAAGTTGTGGGTGCTCATGACCTCATGCCTAAAGATGGACAAGGTTCCTGCAGTGCTTATGTGGAACTTCTCTTTGATGATCAGAAATTTCGAACCACAATTAAAGAAAAAGATGTAAGTCCTTATTGGAATGAAAAGTTTTACTTCAACATCACTGATCCAACTAAACTAGCAAGCCTCGCTCTTGAAGCCACTGTCTATCACTACAACAAAACATCTGGGTCCAAACACTTTATTGGCAAGGTTCGGCTAACTGGAACATCATTTGTTCCCTATTCTGATGCTGTTGATTTGCACTATCCTCTTGAAAAGAAAGGCTTTATTGGACGCGTAAAAGGAGAGCTTGGTTTGAAAGTCTACGTCGTAAATGATCCTTCTGTACGATCATCAAACCCTCTTCCTCCTATGGAACCCCTTTTGAACACAGATCACTCAACTGAAGATCAAATTCAGACTCCAGTATCATTTACAGATGCAATCAAGAACACCATTCCCCAGAAGAAAACTGAGTCAAAGCGCACATTTCATAAGCTTCCTCAATCAAAACAAGATCCTTCACCCAAACCAAGTTTACAGCAGAGTGTAAACTTCGCTATGAATGAGATGAAATCCGCACAGCCTGCTGCAAAAGCTGTACAAGCATTTGCAAGCGCGTCATCTCCGGTTGATTTTGCACTCAAAGAGACTAGTCCATTTCTTGGAGGAGGACGAGTTGTTGATGGGAGAATTAAACGTGGGAATAGGCCTGCCAGCACCTATGATCTTGTTGAACAGATGCAGTACCTTTTTGTGCGAGTTGTGAAAGCTCGAGACCTTCCAACGAAAGACGTCACTGGCAGCCTTGATCCATATGTGGAGGTTAAGGTTGGAAACTACAAAGGAACCACCAAGCACTTCGAGAAGAACAAAAACCCTGAATGGAATGAGGTGTTTGCCTTTGCAGGGGACAATGTGCAATCATCTTTTCTCGAGGTTGTGATTAAAGACAAGGATGTGGTTCTTGATGATCTTGTTGGAACTATAAGGATTGATCTTCATGACGTTCCTAAGAGGGCTCCACCTGATAGTCCACTGGCTCCACAATGGTATTGGATCGAGAACAAAAATCGGGAAAGAAAGAATGGTGAATTGATGCTTGCAGTATGGTATGGCACACAAGCTGATGAGGCTTTTGCTGATGCTTGGCATTCTGATGCAATATCTCCTGGTGGAAGCTCTTCAGCTGCCTACTCTCAGATTCGATCAAAAGTCTATCATTCACCGAGACTGTGGTATGTTCGAGTAAGGGTAATTGAAGCACAAGACTTAATTGTGCCAGAGAAAGCTCGATTTCCAGATGCATATGTGAAGGCACGGTTGGGTAACCAAATTTTGAAGACGAAATCTGTTCAAGCCAGGACCCTGAACCCGCGTTGGGAGCAGGAGCTAATGTTTGTTGCTGCAGAACCCTTTGATGAACCATTAATCATTTCAGTTGAAGATCGTGTTGGTCCTAACAAGGATGAGACTATTGGCAATCTTGTTATACCTTTGAATACAGTGGTAAGGCGTGCAGATGATCGATTTGTCCCAAGTAAATGGTACCACCTTGAAAAATCTGTTTCATCTGCCGTGGAAAGTGCGGAGCACGGAAAAAAGAAAGAAAAAGATAAGTTCTTCAGCAGGCTTCACCTCAATGTCTATCTTGAAGGCGGCTATCATGTGCTTGATGAATCAACTTATTACAGTAGTGATCTTCGTCCTACGGCAAAGCAGCTCTGGAAGAAGTCAATTGGGATCTTAGAACTTGGGATTCTGAACATTGATGGACTTCAACCCACAAAAACAAGGGAAGGGAAGGGGACTTGTGATACATACTGCGTGGCAAAGTATGGACAAAAATGGGTTCGAACTAGGACCATTATTGACAGCCTTAATCCGAGGTACAATGAGCAATACACATGGGAAGTGCATGATACAGCAACAGTTCTTACTATTGGGGTATTTGATAATGCTCAGATTCATTCCTCAAATGGTGGTAATAAAGACGCAAGAATTGGCAAGGTTCGAATCCGGATCTCTACCCTTGAAACGGGTCGAGTTTACACACACTCTTACCCTCTACTTATGCTGCAACCTTCTGGGGTGAGGAAGACAGGGGATCTTCACTTGGCAATAAGATTTTCCTGTACATCAATGATGAATATGATGCATCTGTATTTCAAACCCCATTTGCCTAAGATGCACTATGTGAAGCCACTTAATATTATGGAGCAGGAGAAGCTTCGTCACCAAGCTGTGAACATTGTGGCAGCTCGACTGAGCCGAGCTGAGCCGCCTTTGAGGAAGGAGGTGGTTGAGTACATGTCTGATACAGATTCTCATAAATGGAGCATGAGACGTAGCAAGGCGAATTTCTGCCGTTTGATGCAAGTTTTCCATGGATTACTCTCAGTAGGAAGATGGATTGGGGAAGTTTCAAGGTGGAAGAATCCTCTAACAACAGTGCTAGTACACATTCTGTTTCTCATGCTCGTGTGTTTCCCAGAACTCATTCTTCCAACAATTTTTCTTTACATGTTCGTGATTGGAATGTGGAAGTGGAGGTTCAGACCAAGAAAACCTCCTCATATGGACGTTAGAATCTCTCAAGCAGATGTTGTGATGCCAGATGAACTTGATGAGGAGTTCGACACTTTTCCGACCACAAAAAGCCCAGACGTCGTACGTCACAGGTATGATCGGTTAAGGAGCGTGGCCGGGAGGATTCAGAGCGTTGTCGGAGACATAGCTACACAAGGAGAGAGGATCCATGCACTTCTAAGCTGGAGGGATCCTCGCGCCACAGCCATATTCATGGTAATATGTCTTGTGGCTGCATTAGTATTGTATGTGACACCATTTCAGATTATAGTTCTGTTTGCTGGATTTTATCTCATGAGGCATCCAAAACTCAGACACAAGATGCCATCGCAGCCGGCGAATTTCTTCCGCCGCCTGCCTGCTCTAACAGATACGATGATGTAATTATAGCTTCTGTGTGGGTGGCAGCGCATGTAAAAATCCTGGGATGATGTCTGTTTATTTAATGAGTTCATGGAAGTTGATACAGATGATGTGTACATGCTGTGGAAAACTGTAATGTAATGATTAGATTTTACCGAGACTTGCTTCCCCCCCCCCCCGGGATATGTTAAACTCCTATCCAATGAGATGCCTATCTACTGAAGCTTTTTTTTTCTTTTTTCTTTTGTTCATTCAAAAAAAAAGAGAGAAAGAAAAAACATCAGGCATAATTATAAATTATTTTTCTCTCTCTCATGTTTTTTAAGTACTCTTGTTTTCTTTTTCCTTCTTCATCCAGGAGATGTTGCTTGGAATTGGATGTGTAGTTTGGAAAAGTCGAAAGGAAGAGTCGCAACACAAAGACCAGGTCATAGGTCTCATTTGTCACCTCACCGGACATAGACGTGTATGGCCAAGCCCCTTCGTCATAATAAACAATTTTTGACCTGCATAATAAATTAAGTTGTAATTTATATATGTGTGCGCGTGATTTATACACGCACATATATATCTTTGATTTTTTTTTTTCTTACCGACATATATCTTTGATTTTATTTGAGCATCCGACAGAAAAATTGTTGGTGTATTAGATAAGGTAGGCTTAAAATATTTTCTCATGGTGACGTGTCATATGACTGTGCGCCTGGCAGTCTCCGGCAACACAATTGAGGCGTCGCGTGCGGGATACTCCCTCCATTCCTTATTATAAGAGACATTTGATACTTATAGCATGTTCCTATATATAAGAGACACTTAACAGTTGTTTTTACTTTTTTGTGTTGATTTCCTATTTTACCCATATTTATTGTTTCCAACTCATACTCTCCCTCCCTCCCACTTCTCTTTCTTTTAATAATTTAATTGTTCTCTTTTATGCTCTCTCTCCTTATTAATGAGGGTATTTTTGGAAAAAAGATTATACTTTTTACACATTGATTGTTCTTAACTAATTTTAACTGTTTTTTTAATTAAGGTAATTCGGTTATTCGTCTCTTATAATAAGGAACGGAGGGAATATCTTGTTTATGATGAAAGAAGCTATCTCTATCACTGTAAGATCATAAAATGATTAAAGTCTATTACTGCACCTTTCCTGTGTTTAATTTTTTTTTAATTTTATCCAAGATTTGAGAGATAAACTTCCTTCGCCCAAAAAAAAAATTAAGATAAAATTGAAAGACCATATATTTTTTTAAAGGCCCAATACTGTTTACCAGCTTTCCCTTTTTATTGTTTGTTTGGTGGATGGGTATCTCTAAATCGGGCTGAAGAGTTATTACAAGGTCCAAGACGTGTTTACAAGAGCATCCAGAGAAGTTTAAATATGTTGGCAAAATAAAAATAAAAAAGGTTGAAGTTTATATACTGAATGGTAATGATTTTAACTTTAGGTTCAACTTCGATCCCTCTCACTTTTTTTTATTTTATACTTTCTATTTTTTATGTTCACCTCATCAGTCCTTCAAGGATTTCAAGGCGTATCTGAAATTCATCGAGTAATTCGGTATGTCCATAATTAGAGACAATTTTATTCAAGATACCATTAGACAATAAACATGGGTACCTTTTTTAACGGAATTCGAACCTTACGTAGTAGACCAACCCCTTTTGTTAGATCTAACTCCTATTCATAACAGTCTTGTATTTTGATAAATCTAGATGATACTGAACCCATTGTACATAAGGTAGCGTACTCTTAGAAATTGAAATGAAAGAAAAATAAAACTAAATTGATTGCATGTCAGCAAAGCATCTCAAAATTAAAGAAGATTAAATCAAACAAGTGTGTTAAATTAAACATGTTGCCTTTGGGTTTATCTGGTCATCACCGGCAAAGCAAATTATGAGTTATATGCTCTAATCTTGTCTTGCAGTGGAAACCAGGCAACGTAAAATTCTTCATTACCTTTTTAATTGTTTTTAGGATTTGAATGCTAATGGCCAAAACAAAGGAAAAGCCCTACAAAGATGATGTAGTTATCATCATTATGGTTAAGTAACGGCGAAACAGAACTCAATGGCTGACCAAAAAAAAGGAACCTTTATAGATCAACTTACATATATACACACACAACACATTAAAATTGTCACCCATACCATAAATCAAAACGTCGTGAGCTCACGAAGGAGAGAGACAAAGAAATTAACAAAATCAGAATGAAGGTGTTTTGCAGAAAGCCATCCTTGCTTCTACTGGTTATCCTCCTTGCAACGAATTGTTTGTACATTATTGAAGCTCAGAAATGTCGCCAAAGTGGTGCGGTGAAAGGGAAAAAGGCACCTCCTGGACAATGTAACAAAGAGAATGATTCAGACTGCTGTAAAGAAGGGAAATTGTATCCAGTTTACAAGTGTTCACCACCAGTCTCTTCCCACACAAAGGCACATCTCACACTGAACAGTTTTGAGAAAGGCGGAGATGGAGGAGGCCCTTCAGAATGTGACAATCACTATCATTCTGATGACAAACCAGTTGTGGCACTTTCCACTGGCTGGTTCAACCACAAGAGTAGGTGTCTCAAGAACATCACCATAACTGCCAATGGTCGGAGCGTGGTGGCCATGGTGGTTGACGAGTGTGATTCCACTAGAGGCTGTGATGCAGACCATGATTACCAACCTCCATGTGACAACAACATTGTTGATGCCTCCAAGGCTGTCTGGGAAGGTTTGGGAATTCCCAGGAGTCAGTGGGGCTGGTACGATATTGCATGGTCTGATGCCTGATACGCTAATAACACTACTGTAGGATTTCATGCATCGGTGCACTGTATTATGCTATGTATACTTTGTGTTTTGTGATCTTTACTCCTCTTTTCCTATGGCTTTTTTACATCCTCATCCTATGTGAATATTAAATATGTACCGAATGCTTTGTGTAATGTGAAAATCTTAATATACTGGATTGTTCATTTATATTAATGCAGTTCCTCATATGTGGCGGCTATACAATTAGATGTTTACTGCGGTGCTTGTTTTCCCATTATTTTGATTGTGCAGTTTACAAATTGAATTTTGCATGGCCATACGAGGTTATACCTTTCGCAGCTAATCATGTCCTTTCATATATAATAATTGCAAGACTCCAAAAATTATTCTCTTACTACTGAAATGCTTAATTTGTACTAAAAGATACTGTTAATAAGACATGAACAAATGTTGAGTCATCACTACCTTGTTGAATGTCCCTCCCGATATTGGCAACAGAAAAACTCCACACATAGCTTAACTTAGACTCCATAACTCACAGGTCTCACATTTAGTCACTGAATATTTTATTTAATTCAAAATAGAGAGAGATCAGAAGCTCAAAAGATGACGCTTAGGGCCAGCACTACACAGATTCTATAAACTGTTGATGCCATTTAACTTAGCAGTTCATTCTCCTCCCAGATTCTTGTTCTTCTTACGCCGCTTTGTCGTCTTCTTCGCACGAGAGTGATCTTCACCCAGCGCCTTCACTGTTGCCGGCTTCTTCGGTCAAAAGATGGGCAAAGGAGCATCATTATAAGAAAAGATCTTGGACAGTGACGTTCTATCTACTTGGGTTCGTTTTCAACTGGACTACCAAGTTGATATATATATATATATTCGAACAATTTCATAGAAAGATTCTGAAAATTGGACGAGATCAGCCACTATTTCAGAGTCAAAGAAACGAAAAACCCAGTAACCAAAGTTGGAAACAGCACTTCTTTTAAGCGCGTCCCTTTCGGGGTATTGAAATCCAAACCATGGTCTCATCTCTATTTTAGCTATGTTGCGCCAAAGAAGCATTGAGCTCTTTTTATATTTCAAACTTACTATTGGTCATTTTTCATCTTATTTTCCAAGAGAGAATTGCCAAATTTTCTGTGAGGAATATGGGAGACATCAAACATATATATTGCCTTTTAAACTGTCAGGTTTGTTTACGCGAGTACTTTTAATATCATTTCAACAAAATTGATGATGAATTTGATTGCCAATAGTTTGATTAATTACTAATTTAATTATGTGGTTGTGAGATCATTATTTCGATGGAAAATAATATGATACTTGAAGTGAATTTCAGATGAAGCCGGTGATTTAAAAAACATCTGTGTAGCTATATGCAAGTCTCACCTTTTTTCCTTTATACCAGTATATGTTTTAAATAATCTAATTTTATCTGGGTGTGTATTTTCAAT